GGATTTACAAACCTTATTACACAACCTACATGAAGAAGTATCCTGTTCTGTGTGTATGAGCCCGTTCACTGATCCAAAAATATTGCCCTGCTTTCATACATTTTGTCTTCATTGTTTGAACGAGCTTCAGCGAACAAGTGGCAAACATGGCGAGATTACATGCCCGGAATGTCGTAGAAAGTTTCAAGTTCCTGGAAGTGGTTATCCTCAAGATTTGCCGGCCAACTTTCGAATGAACAGTTTGTTGGATGTAATGGCTATTCAAAAATGTAACGTCGATGGTGTCAAGTGTGGAAACTGCGACAAAACAAGCGCCCAAAGTTTCTATTGCTTTAAATGTTGCGCCTTCTGGTGCGAAGATTGCATTGCAGCTCATAACATTATCCGAGCCAATAAAGACCACCGGGTGCTAGCGATTAAGGATTTTCAAGATCAAGACATTGAAGACGTGTTGAAAAGGCCAGTATTTTGCCAAATAGAACATCACGAAAGCGAAGAGCTGAAGTTCTTTTGTAAAAACTGTGAAAAGGCCATTTGCAATACTTGTGCTATAACACTCCACGAAGGTCACGCTAAGTTGCTTCTCCAGAATGTTGCCAATGAACGAAAGTCAAGTCTACAGTCTGCGATGGAAACTCAGAAAGAAAAGGCTCTTCAGATGAGAAATACGATCACCAGACTACAAAGTGAGTGCAACGAAATTCAAGAACAGGTCGCTTGCGTGAAGAAAAGCGCGCAGAGTTTTATTGACAATTTAATGAAAGTCTTTGAAGCGAAGAAACAGGAACTATTTAAAGCGGTGGAAGACAAAGCTCAAGAGGTGATCGAGCGTCTGGAAGAGCAACAGTCTGAGGTCGAATACAAATTACGGCGGATCGAGACGTCAATTGAAGAAACGGAAATATTCTTAAAGCGAAGCACAAATGCTGAGATTGTGCAGTTTAACACCGTATTCCAGAAGGAAGTCACCGACGAGGCAGGACTAGTCGACTGCGACCGTAAGGATCTTCGCCACTTTGTGTTCTTTCCAAACAAATCATTGATGGCTAAAGCAAACAGTGAAGGTGTTGGTTCTTTGAAACAAATCATCAGCCAGACTAAATCGAGAAACTCAAAAGCGGAAGGAAAAGGAATCACTGAGGTGACTGTTGGACTTGAAGCACAGTTTGTTTTAACAACACGAAATGCTGAGAATGAACAATGCTACGAACAGTGTGATGTCGTTACAGTGAAAATCAAAAATGGTGACGACCGTGAATGCGCCACTGAAGCACAAGTCCAAGATAACAAAGATGGCAGCTACAATATCAGCTACTTTGCCAAAGAAGCAGGAACGTGCCAGACATCAGTGATGGCAAATGGAGAACATGTTAGTGGCAGTCCATTCACTGTTCAAGTTAAACGCAGAAAATACAAACGTGTGTTGTCATTTGGAGGACAAGGCTCATCTGCTGGAAGGTTTAATCGACCTTGGGGTGTCACGATGAATGAACGTGACGAGGTTGCAGTAACTGACAAACTAAATGGCCGAGTTCAGATATTTAGTACTGATGGAGCTTACTTAAGGTCTTTTGGCAGCAAGGGTGATCAAGAGGGGGAGTTTAAATACCCTTCAGGTATAGCTTATTTAAATTATGGAAACATGGTAATAGCTGATAGTGGTAACAACCGACTGCAAATATTCACTGAACAGGGGAAGTACCTTACCCAAATTGGCAGTAAAGGAAATCTTGATCATCAGTTTAATTATCCATGGGGTTTATCTGTAGACAGTGATGGTAATATTATTGTTGCCGATTCAAATAACAAACTAATCAAGATCTTCACTCCAAGCGGCCAGTTTCTTAGAAAGTTTGGTGGAGAAAATTTATTAGTTGATCCCATTCACTGTATTCAGAAGGATCAATATTTCATAGTATCAGACAACGGTGATCACAGTATAAAAGTATTTAACACAGACGGTGATTTTCTGTATAAATTCGGGAATGAAGGGAAAGGGGATGGGGAATTCAATAGGCCCCGTTGCTTGTCAGGCGACAAAGCAGAAAACCTGATGGTCTGTGATCGTGCGAATGACAGAGTTCAGGTATTAGAACTGAGTGGAAAGTTGATAACAACGTTTGAACTAGTGACTGGGGGATCACCAGTCTCTATCGCAGTTCTGTCTGATGGTAGGATAGTAGTGTCTGTTTTTGGAGACAATCGCATTCAGATAATTAAATAAATACCTTTGATACTAGATTAATATAACATAGGATAGGCTGGTTATTCAACTCCCTGCAATTGAAAAAAATATGTGGTGAATTTATTTTTGTCTTGTTTTTGCATAGCGTTTTCTATCTAACAACCTTTTGCAATGCGTGCCGGTAATTGTGGTCGTGCCCTTTCCAGAAGTGCTTAAGTTTTTTAGGCCGTGAATCGAGCTACTGTAGTTTTAATCTTCTTTGAGCAAGTTTGTAAATATCGATGTTACCTGTAGTTTGGTAAATACTTTATTTCACCCAATTTTTTATTGGTAATAAAACCCTCCATACCATAATTATTTACACACTTCGTGCGATTATTTGCTAGTTTATGGGAGACAGAATGCGAGTTGTCGCCGCAAGAGGTCTCTTATTTTTCTTCAAAGATGGGGGTATATCGTGCTTACCAGACAGGTCTTAGCAGGCAAGCAGTGAGCGTCAAGGCCACGAGAGATGAAAAACGAGAGCTTGATAACAAACTGACGTAACGGGAAAATGGGCATTTGATGGATGTCACCCTATGATTTCGAAAAAAAATGAGACTGCTCGTATATCTGCTAAAGAGCATAATCCGTCTACAACAACAGTTCATTGTATTTCGTGAGAAACAAGTTCTGGTGCCTGTGTAACAACCTTTCCTGGATTTCCGAATTTGTTTATTCAACATACATGTTGTAGTTAATTTTTTTATCTCAGGTAATTTTTGTTTCTCTTTTGTTTTTGGGTATGGTAATGTCTGCTAATGAAGTTGAAACAAAGGAAAAAGAAAAATTACCTGAGATAAAAAATTAACTACAACATATACAAATTGATTTTCACTTGACACCTGTAAGCGAAACATGCTGAATCTGATTCTTGCGAGGCTACTGATGATAGCGTTACTAACCCTCCGTTTAGGGATAAGGCGAGTAAACAAACGAGGGATGGGAGCCAAAGGAAAATTAGGGACTTGGACTTACGAACATCCTTTCAACTAAGGTGATTTTTAAAACACAACAGTCGAGCGTGGATGCACATCCATGGCACCTCGGGATTATTGAGTCTACCTTATGGATGATTAAACGATAAAAAACAAGAAGGATGAAATGCATTTTTTCAAGTCTATCAGCAGTAGCTCATCTTATCTGAGTTTGCGATTAGGCTCGTGTGTTGGGAGTTTGTGCTGCATATTTCTCGTTGCCTTTTATGCTAACCAGGTTCGGGGTGGGAGAGGGGGGGGGAGAAGATAGGTTAGATACTGCTCGCGCAAAACTGATTCTACCGAGGCTACTGATGATAGCCTTACTAACCCTCCGTTAAGGGATAAGGCGAATAAACAAATGAGGGATGGGAGCCAAAGGAAAACGGATGATTTGGCCTAACGAACATTCGTTAACATAACCAAATTAACACGCAACAGTCGAGCATTTCTACGGGCAAGGATGTACATCCATGACACTCTTGTTTTCGAGATTCTTGAGTCTTCCTGTAGCGTTTAAACTATACAAAACGAGTCAAGTATTTCATGAGGGATGAAATGTATTCTTCAAGTCTATCAGCAGTAGCTCATCTTATCTGAGTTTGCGATTAGGCTCGTGTGTTGGGAGTTTGTGCTGCATATCTCTCGTTGCCTTTTATGCGAGGAATAGCATAGCTACATTGTAGGAGTTACAACCAGGTTCGGGGTGGGGGTGAGGGGGGGGGGAGATAGGTTAGATACTGCTCGCGCAAAACTTTGCTTCTACGCTGCTAACTCAAAAGTCTATTATCATACTGTTATCATTCCTTCATAGGGAAATATTTTCAATCCCCTCTGACAAATGTGCGCTAAACGTTCTACCGCTTCTTAGTTCCTGGGAAACGCTATTCCTAAGCATGTCTCCATTCCCTGCAAGTAAGTAGCTGTAGTAGCAACAGCGCTTGATTCATTGCTATTCACTAGAGATAAATTCTAGCTCTGCCCCTGGGACCGCTTCAGACGCCGTAAAAAGGGCTGCCATCTTTTTGGCGTTAAAGTGCAGAATTTGATTTGAGGTTGACGTTAGTCGTCAACCTTTTACGTCCAACGCTAGGTTTTATGCAGCTCAGACTCCTGACGTTCTTCAGGAAACCAAACTGAAGTAAACACAATTCCCCCCTTAAAGGCACCTTGCCGGCCACATGATAGACTGTCACAAAAACGTCATTTCAATAGGTTGGGCGGTAGGTGGCATCTAGAGTGTATGCAGGCTATCCAGAGTGCGGGAAAGCTTTTCGGTGAAACGCTCGAGGAAAAATCAGGCCGCGGCTATCTGAACTTGACCGTTTTCCCAATTCTTCTCGCGGCTCTGCCTTCAACACAAAAGCGCTTTTACCAAAAAAACGCACATCCGCAATAACGAAACAGGATTTGTAGCGGCGAATGGCGGCACACCTTGACATCCCTCACGATAAAGCAACAACTTAAACGTTTAATCATACACGAGGCGTCCCTGAGTGATTCACAAGTGCCCCACAAAATGACCATCACATATATCGATTAGAATTACAGCGAAAAAACTCGATTAACGCGAGGAAAAACCTTAAGAAAACGGGTTAACAAAACACTTGAGATTATTTTACGCTGGCATCGTGCACACCAATCACGAGGCTTCCGTTCGCGTGTTAACAAAGGGAAACCCGCTGGCATCAAAAGACCAGCAGTTACAGGTAACGATCGTTCACGAACATTGCAATTAAATAATTTATTGTTGAACTTGTCTTTATTCTATTGAACCAGTCCCAGTGGAATAATTTAATTCATGTCACTACAGTTCCCCTATAAAGCACAACACCGGCTTTCGAGTCGATCAAAGCCGGCCACACGTGATACTTTATTCCCATAGACGTCATGTCAGACGTCATGAACCGTCCATGAAGTTTCTCTGTGAACTCTGTGGCTTCGTATTCAATGCACATTGGTGGAATTTGGACTGCCAGCATCCATGACAAGCGAACACATTCATCCATGTATTCTTTTAACTTCACACAGTTTTGTAATTCTGGAAAATCGTACAAGGTGCTCCATAACTGTTTGCTTACATCCTTTAAAGCCAAAAAGAAAAGAAATGTTAAAAACCTCCTTATGAAGTTATTCGCCACCGTTTTACGCATGTACGAAATGATGGGGTTAAAGCAATGTCACGTGGTCTCTCGGAAAGAAAACAGCTGATTGAACCCGCGTGTCCCGCTGGCGAAACTTTTTATTACATCCACATAGAAATACAACTTTTCTAAGTCAGACAAAATTGTATAGATTGAGTTTATATCTTCAAGATTTCCGTCATTGTTGCTTGGGGTTGTCTCCTTCGGCATTGTTTTAAATACCACAAAACAATCTACACTTTAAAATCGAGCTTGAATAATCAATTGCTTCCTTAAGGATGCTTTCACAGCTATTTGGAAAGGATTAATTATTTGCGTTCACCCTCAACAAATTAACCAAAATAATCATCCACTTTTTCGGCATTCATCAAAATATTCACTTAAGTTCTCAACTCACCTGTTTGATACTGTCAATTTTCAATCGTGCGCCCGTTATCCTTAAGTAGTCAGCAATGCGGTCTTGCATTTCCTGCGCGTGCGCTGCTATCTTGTCGTCATCCGGGATATCTAGGATTTTCTTGAGCTTAGTTTGCTTTTCTGTCAATGCGTGTTGTACCGTTCGGTATGCCACCTACCGGAATGCACACAAACACTTTTAACATCATTGGTTCGAGTTAAAGGCGTTGTTTCTGTAGAGACCCCACATAGTATGATGGGATACACGCTCTTACCCATGGAGATTGAGGAATAGTTCTGTGCATGACGGGAGGGCCAAGGCGACCTCTACTATGGCGGCCGAAAGGAAAAAAGACCAAAAATGACGCAGTGCGCATGCATGGAAATAACCTTTCGCCGTAGCGCCAAATCCTATAACGTGAAGACCTGTCTTGTGGCGTAGTCGCTGCTACGTGATTCTGAACTGAGCCGACTTTTCTCCTATTTCTTTTTACAATCACTGGTTTTAAGACCTATCATAGATTGTTTTTCACTTTATCAAGAAAGTATTTGACGCTTCTGGTTTTCCAGGAATTACGTCTTGCCTGCGTTTTCTCAGGTTAAAATTTCTTATCCTCAAACGAGGTCAAATGCTGTGTACAAGTCGTAAGGAAAATCCAGGTTTTGAGGCTTACAGGAATCCAGCATACAGCAACAAACACTCCTCGTCACTGTTAATCCTTGATCGCAAGAGAGAAAAATAACATCTCTTTCTTCTCTAAATGAGGTCATTACGACTTATTAACAGCGAAAGCAAGTGAGCGAAAAACGCCGCACTCACTGTTTCGACTCCTCTTGCTTAAAGTTGAAACTTGGTGGGCTATAGCCTGCGTATCAAGCCTTTTCGTGTGGTTACGGAGCAAAGAAAGACCGCGGACGACGAGAAACGGTATTTTCGGTTTTGGCCCCGCGAAACATGGAACGAGCTCCAAAATCACATGAAAACCCTTGCTGCTCCTTGCCACTAAGCTGCTAGGTGGGCTATTAAGGTGGGCTACGGGACGTACTTTCCCCAGGATTCCGCATCCACGACCGCCGCAGTAGAGATCACATGGTCACTGTAGCGACTCTTTTTTTAAGTCTCAAATGTCTCTTGGCCGACCAATAATCATTTGCCCTACCAATCGCTCGTCCTCACAAAAAGTTGCTTTTTCCCTGAAAAATTTCCTCAAGCAGATTCTCTAGGGGTTCTCATTGGCCTTTTTTCTAATTTTAAGTAGATTATAACAACTTTTTTGAACGAATCACAACTGCAAATGCAAATGAAGATTATGGTACTTACCACCAAAACTGAGAACAATATTTTGTTTTTGATGTCTCCACTATCGTCTACTTTATCCAGAGATTCCAACTCATCAAGCTCGTCCATGGCGTCTAGCCTCGTCTGGGTGTAGAGGTTGTCATAGCGTTCTACCAGAGCGGACGGCCGACACTCGCCTGCCGATAAATCCTCAAATTTCCCGCCTTTTTTCAACTGTCTCTGCGCCTGATCCTGTAGCCTTAAATAGAACAGAAGAAGATATTCTTACAGACTTTCCTCCATGACTGTAATATCCCATGAATTTACAGGCTCCTTTTTTTACCTGTCAGTCAAATTTTTCTCTCTTTTTCTTAGGAGTTGAACCATTTCCTGTGCTGCTTCAAGCTCCTTTTGTTTATTCTGGAGTTGTAATTGAAGGTCGGCCGTTACATCTCTTTGCTGTTGGTTTCTTTCTGTCCCATTAACGTTTGGACTCGACTGTTTACGTTGTGTTGGCTTAACCCTTTTCCCCTCTTCAGTCTCACTTGAGCTAAGCGCGGAAAATTCTGTAAAGAAATTGAAGAAAATCGACAATATTGAATTTTTTATACATTGACCGATCTAGGTGTGTTTAATTATTAATTTTTAACTTTGAATTACGTCGAAGAGCCGCTTAAACCGTAAGGCCAAAGGGACGAGGCTGTTAAAGTAAAGTAAAAAAAATGGTTTTCTGCAAGACGCCGAAATGGTTCTTTAGTAGAAAGAAGAGTGGGTCTTATGTATCGTAGAGGGCTATAAGTTTATCAAAGTCAACTGGCTGTTGTTTCCCTCTTTAGATATGGTTTACTATTGATATAAATATGATCATGATCTTGATCATCATCATTATTATCATTATTATTATCATTACTGTTATTATTATTAACACCGAAAACAAACTTATGTGATCCGTATTTACAGTTTGACCAAAGTTCAACGTAGAAGTACCGTACTTCTTGAGTCGTAGCTTTTTATTTGCTGGTTGTTACTGTATCTAAAGGGCTTCCTAGCCTACGAGCAAACTCTCCGGGGTGCTCTGGAGGCGGGGCGGGAATAAAAAGGACAGCTTGTAACAACGTCTCTCTTTGGAATTTGAATTCCGCCTCCAATTCCCCCGTGGCTCCCCGTCGACTAAGCTGTCAGATTTTCGCCAATCAGCGCGAAGCGGAAACGAGCGCGAATGTAAACAAACATAGAAAAACACGTGAAAGCACGCGCCAAGGGTAAAGACATCATTACTCATGCCATCTCCGCCAATGAGCATTTCAAATCCCAGAATCGTAGTTGCAGGCTCTCCTTCCTTTTCCCGCCCCGCCGCCAGAGCACCCTGGAGAGCTTGCACGCAGGCTAAAGGCCTTCCCTACTCCTTTAGCCTCACTACTGTGCGCGACTAACTAGTTACGGGTGACTTGTCGGATACTTGAATGAAATACCTGATCATTATGAAAGCCTGGTAAACAAGCCAGGCAACCTTAATTGAGCCGCTAAGGTAACACCTTACCTGTTTCGTCGTCCAATTGGGTAACAGTATCGAACACATCTGATCCATCTTCGCTGACGTCACCAGAATTCGAATCACTAGCCATGGTGCGAGTGATGGTGGGTACCTTCAGTGCAGCCACACCCTTTAGCGACTCCTCTAACAGTTGTAATACTAGGCGGTAACCGTGATGAAACCTCTCGAGTAGCGGTAATACTTGTTCGTCAAGTGACACGTTAAATTCTTTTCTTAGTGTGCTCAAAAGTTGAAGGACCTGAAACATAACGAATTCTACATTGAGGTTGACAAAAGTAAGCACAGCATGATAATCTGCAAAACAAAAAATCGGTTTAGCGTAGCGTAATAGTAAAGTAAGAGCCTCACACGCACGAAGCGCGTTAGCCTCACGGGCGAGAGAAAGAAAATGTATTTTTAGCGTCTCTCCCCAGTCTCGTTATCAGAATTCAGCCTCGCTCCAGACCCCTTGTTTGACTGTTCGCGTATACTTGAATACGCAAAAATACGGACTGTTTTGCGATCTAACTGCATGAGATATGACCTCCCTGATGACATGATTCGACTCATGACTTGATTTACCTGTCTCAATTTATAACTGCTACAACCAGACCACAAATCAGTTGTCCCATAGTTAGTAATGTGTCCTGAGGGTTATTCAACAGTAAAAGTTAAATGCCTTCTCTGCTTAACAAAGTAAACAGGTAATTCCTAACACAAACTCTAGTACAAGGTTTGTATGGTTATAAGTCGAAGGGGATAAATGACGAGAAAAGGGAAGTTTCCTCCCCTACTCGCCCGGGTCACATGTTTACAACAGGTTATCAACTGCATAGCTTACGTAGCAGGCGTCGAAAGGGATGGGGGGGGGAGGAAAGGAGGGATAAGGGAAAGAGGATTTTCCCTTTTCCCTATCGCGCTTTTCTCCCCCTCTCCCCAGTCTCTCTCTTGCTCAAAAATCTGTGGGGGAGTGGAATATCTGAGTACCGCGAGCAGTGTGTTGTGCGGGCGCCTGTACGAGCGTCCTGACGCCAGCACAACACTGGCCCTGCTTGCGGCTTTGCTGCTCGAATACTCGAATATCCCACTCTCTCACAGATTTTCGAACAAGAGCAGTCTGGAACAAAAAAGAGACTGCTCGCAGTCTTTTTGCTATCCGTCACCAAACAAATCAACGGTTCTTTATCAAAATCATGATATTCCTTTTTGATAATGTTTATTTACATGTAACTGGAACTGGAAGGAAACTAGTCCTTGAACACATCATCATATTGTTAGAAAGGATGCAAACAAACGTTACGCTTAAGTTACCCAAAGTTTGTAAACACATTTGTTTGGTTGTTCAATGAGAGCAGCGTTTGTATGAAACATTATTTGTATTCATAGTTATATGAGCACGAGCCGACCAACCTTAATTACTCACGCAAAAAAATCGTCAACGTACGAAAACTACTAATTAGAAAATTCCATCTTATAGCACTTAACTGTACTTATTACATGTTTGTTGTTGTTGTTGTTTTGTTTTGTGTTTTAATTTTTATTGTAGAGAATAGCGCTCTTACCTCTTTATCGTGGTCAATGCGTGTTCCTAAGCTTTCGATTAACTCATTTATCACTAGTTTGTCCCTTGAACTATCCTGTACTGCAGACAGTAGCGATTGATTAAAAGACAGTCTGTCCTCGATAGTTTTCCTCGACAGTTTTCTCATGTACTGAATCGTCTTTTCATCGATATCTACCTTGTTGTGTGCAGAAGAAGATAAATCTAGCTCACCATGATTATTAGGCATGCTTAATAAGACATCGGCCAATCTTTGGAGGGAGGATTTGTAATGGTTTATAGCCCGCTCTAATTCAGACTTCAAAGCCTCGGGCATTCCCATGTAACGAGTTGCCGATGATCGTGTTATTGTCTCGAGCAAAGAATGCTCGGAAAATCCTTTCAAGGCTTTCGAAAGCTGCTCCACTCTCTGAACAATTCTTTCATGAAGGGAATTATCGATCTGCGCGCAAACTTTGAAGATCGTTTTAATATGCTCTCGTGAACGTGCGCTCGCGAACGTCTGATTGTTATACTTGAGAACATCCACGAAATACCGAACAAGCCGTTGGACAAAATCATCGCTGGAAAATCCGTGATCTGGAAGTTTTCCCTGACGATCGTAAAAAATCTTTGAATAAAGCGCTGCCAACGAAGCTAAGCTGCTTGGAATATCAGCGTAAAGGCTCTCCATGGACAAGTTATCCAAAATGAGCACCAGAACATCTCCGGGAATTTGATTAAGTATTCTTGTAAGTTCTTGGTATTCCTTTCTCTCGATGCGCAAGTTCACCTTGCCAATAACTTTCAGAACCAGAATCTTGCCGTCCTCTAATGAGTCTTGCTCCGGTTTTGAAGCTTTAGTATCAAAGCTCCGCCGTCCTCGATTCGTTTTTGTCGGTGGTTGTAGATTGTCATTTTCAGGAAAAGAATTCGATCGATTTTGCCTAGAGTTGGCTCTCGTTGGAGGCAAACTCGACCGACCCTCTGACATTCTGTACCTTTCAAATGCACTCAAATGTTAATTAATTAACTAAGAATTCTTTCAGCCAAACCTCACTACGAAGTCCTGATGATTTCATTGGAAGCTGGATCTCATTATTAAACGTTATTTTGTTCTCGCATAACAATCATGATCGATGGATAATCTCTCTTAATGCTCTTTACACATTATGGATAAAAAGAGGGCGTTTTCTAAAGGAAAAGGAAAATTAGTCAATCCATTCACTAATATTCTTGATGTGAAGTTGCTATTGCCGAAATGTAAATTACTTTCAGCTTGTTCCATAACATTACTCTGCCGCCATGGTGATCACCTCGGTTCTTGTTGACACAGTTAAGCCTTGCATTACAATGTGTACGGCTCATTTTGAGAAGACCCCTCCACTAATTCTTGCAACTTTTGGAAAAGTTCGGAAAATCCATCAACAGTGGTAGATAGAACGCCTCGGTTGAAATTAGTAAACTTGCCGAGTTTGAGAGTGGTATGTCAGAAAGAAGTGTAGCTCCATAAAGTCGCCGAATTTTACAGACGTTCGATTATTAAATGGTGGTCGCAAATACAACTGTAGATATCAACATCTCTCTCCCTCTCTCAAACTTGGCACTTTCACGGTTTTTAAGGCGCTTTTGCCAGCTGTGTCAATAAATTTTCGCAAACTGGTCCATGTCAAAAAGGAAGTGGCAATCGCACTGTAGGGTTTAATTTTATCGGCAGATGAGGAATTATTAATCCACTGTTTATCGCTTCTTTAGTGTGTACTGATCAGTCTCTGATCATAAGCCAATATTTTATACTAATACAGTCTACACTGTTCTTCAAGCAAGAAAAACCTCACGCCTTTTAATTTCAAACCTCGCCTCCAAAAGATTATAAATTAAAGTTAAATTATGATGTTGCAGAGACGATGGCTCTTTTTTTATCAGTACGTAATTGTGTGTGTGTTATGTTTCGTTTTCTTTCCTTTTTTTTTGTATTTTTTCCCATGTGTTCATAAGGGTCAGATTGTAAAAAATTGTAACACATAACAAAATTAAAATTTATTAAAATAAAAAAAGAGAGAGACAATGGCTGAAAGTTCTTTGTGTTTTCCAATTTGTTCTAAGTTTACAACTTTTCTCCAAAATTTATGTAAAGTATTTGGGCTTACTTTGGTATAATAGAACTGAAATTTTGGATTCTGCCTCTGCTGGCGTTTATGTCCTTTTTTTGCCTTTATTTGTTATTCTACCTGCTGCGAACGAGGCTAAAAACAAACAGTACGTCAGACCTTGAAGAGATATTCTCGACATTCTTGAAAGGCGCACTTCAGTTCGTGACGCAACAAAACTGACGCCAGTTTCAATTAAGGAAATATCTTTTTGAAAAATCACATGACGCTAAGAGCCATGACGTACTTCTTATTTGGTTCCGGTTGTTTCTCTTCCTTTCGTTTTTCTTTCGGCCAAATCTTATTCTCTCATATTCTCTTGATGTTTTGGCTCCATTTTTCTAATGTACATTAGATGGTACATATTCTGAAGTCGGCATTTATTATTCATGCGTGAAGTAATTACAAGTAATTAGGACTTGGCCAGACCCGCCATTGAAATTGTTTTAATTTGTTTATAGCTTTAAACGTGTTTAAACAAAAGTGTATCACTAATCAAATTAACATAATAAAGTACTTTTGTGGTTGATACGGATGGGGCAAAAAGCACCATCGATTTTACCATGAATTCGGCGCATAGTTATCCCTGAGAGGCTGTGTAAGGTTCGGTACCTAAAGGGGACCTTACTTTCTCTTAAAGGAATTTATTAATAATAATAGGCGACCGGTACAAAGAACTTCTGCCCGAGGGTCCGAACAATGTAAGTGCTTGAGATTTAGTGTTTGTACCATTGATCTCTTTTTGTTATGAAAACTAAGGAATATCCAATCCGTTGGCTTTTGTGGTATAACAAGTCCATGTGAGTTTATTCAAATCAGTGCTTCCTTTCAGAATGCTTTATTTTCAATGAGTGATATTGTACATTCAAAATAACTTCCCTTGTCAATATTCTTAATCGAAGGAATTCGAGTTAATAACATCATTGATGTATCCGTTCTCGTAGTTTCATTTACAGGAAATTTTTAACCTCTTAGTCAACAGCGAACTACAAAGCTCACACCAAGCGACCATGGAAAGTGAAGAACAAATTAACACCGCGGGAAACCTTGACAGCGAACTGACGAAACTCGATGAATTCAGATTCGAAGGGAATAACAACCAAATAACACCGTCACTAAGTGAGTTTGAGTTGCGAAAAATCAAAGATGAACTGGGAATGCTCGATAGCGGCGGAGAATTTGATCATTTGAGTCAACCGCTACCATCCATCTGCGTCGATGGTAACACGGAGCAAGGAACTCCGTTCGATTTTCCTTTAACAGAGGAGGAGCGCGCTTTGTTGGAACAATGCACCATCGGCTCGCCACGACGATTTTCCGATTCGCCCAGCGTGTGTTCCACATCACTGGAACAACTAGCTGACAGCTTAATAAAGGACTTTGAGGACATGGACTCCGAAGAAGAGATGTGTTTTGCACCAAAGGGAGCGGAGAGCGTTGAAGAAGGAAATGCATCTGTTGACCATGGGTACTCTCAAGGACCATTTGGCATGAAAACTTCGCCGGTACAGAAGGAAAATTTAGAATTCGGTCAAGTAAAGGAAAGCCAAGACTTCGAAGTTTCAAAACCGAGTGAAGATAACAAAGGAAATATGAATGAACCAAAGCAAGGTAGTCCTAAATCAAGTGAAAACTCAATTTCCCATCAAATCAATCGAAACATGGACACGTGCTCGAGTTCTGCTTCAACATCTTCGCAAAACGGACATTTCTCCGAGGGCACGTCCCGATCTCCTTCGATAGACTCTGATTCGCTTCCGGCCTCGATTGATTCCGGACTTCCAGTCAAAGACGTTCACATCCCGCAGCACAACTACTTTGTTGTGGTGGCAATAGACTTTGGTACAACATTTAGTGGCTATGCTTTTGCGTTTACACGGGAACCCGAAAGCGTTCACATGATGCGGAGATGGGAAGGAGGAGACCCGGGAGTAACAAATCAAAAAACACCGACAACTTTGCTTTTAAAACCCGATGGCAGTTTCCACTCTTTTGGATTCGGTGCGCGGGATTTTTATCATGATCTTGAACCGGACGATGCGAAGAAATGGATGTATTTTGAGAAATTCAAGATGTCTTTGCATTCAAACAAGGTAATGCTTTTATTATCTGCTTACTCTCTTTGCAAAACTGCCATTTATAAAATACCTGAAATAGCTGTTTATTTTGGTATTGATTTAGGTTTTTCTGTTTGCAGTATAAACACATGAACGGTCTTTGATCTTTTACCTGGTTCGGCCTGCCATTGGACACTTTTAGTTGCATATAATCAGCAAACTATGTCATTTCGAATTGTTAGGTATCTTGGCAATATCCTATTTCTTGAAAAAATAAAGCATTTGTTTCGAGTTTGTTAATGGATACAAAAACTTTTTTACTTTTTAAAAACAAAACCATCTGAAAATGCACTACTTTTAAGGCGCTGAGATGTCAAAAATGTATTCTTACAGCATGAACGCGAGCTTCTAGTTTTGCATGTTGATAATGAAAACTGAGATATTGCAATAAGTTATTTAATGTTTATGATTCGAGGAACGCCATAAAATAAAATATTAATGAGAAGTGGCGGGGCATAGACAGGATTTCAAAAGTCAAGACCTTGTTTTAAAGATGGTGTTTACTTCCCACATATTAAGCTAACAACTATATCTACAAGCTGTCTTTCTTTGTTCAATTCTTTATTTAAAAGGGACTAACAGTTACATAAACAACCATCATAGCTGAGGCAGTCAACGAAAGACGACCTTTGTCGGTTTTATATTCTACCGGCTCCGATTGTCAGGGGCACCCAACGAGAATATTGTTGAAAACCACTTAAACATAGCATTGTTAACCGTATTTTAGTATTTATACGGTAGATACAGGCATATTTTTATCCCCTAAAAATTTTTCATCTGTTCGGATTTCCTAGCTGAAAGTCTAGTGATCCGAAAATTATAGGGATCAAAACTTACTTTTTCGAAAATTTCAGCCAGAAAAAAGGCTTCCGAAAATTCTAGGTGACCTTTTAGGGGTAAAAATCCGTTAAAAATGGGCAATTACAGTAGTTTTTAGATGTTCGAAAATCCTAGGAGAGGCAGGCAAGCAAGAAATTTTACAACAAATGTTCCGAAAATTCTAGATCTCAAATCGTCCTCCGAACAGATATTTTCCAAAAATTGTCGCTGGTTGCCCCTGGATTGTGACGAGGATCTAATATCCCATTGAAATGATCTGCATTATCTAGTGTAACTATCTAAAAGATGCAGTGATGCCTAGATTTTTAAAAACAAATTCTCTTCATTAGAACCAGCAGTTTTAATGTACAAATGCAATGCATGGGATATATACTTGTTTATATAAAGGTTATGAAAGAAGAAAAAAACAACAAGGGGACCTATAATAATAAACTGTAATGTACTTTTTCAACCTTTTCTCTGTCAAAGGATCTTCACAGAGATGTAGAAATAAAGGCCGTTAACGGCAAGTCAGTTAAGGCAGTGAAAGTTTTCGCGCATGCTCTGAAGTTTTTCAAGGATCACGTGTTAGAAGAGCTGTCTGACCAATCAGCAACCAGGATTCTAGAAGAAGACATTCAATGGGTTCTAACTGTTCCGGCCATCTGGAAGGCGCCCGCGAAACAATTCATGAGAACAGCGGCTTACGAGGTGAGTTAGGCTATGTTCGTTCTATGCCGGATAGCTCTTGCGCCTTACAAAAACCCCATATGGGATAGAGCCTCTGTTCACACATATGAACGGTGATTTCGGCGCGATTTCTGTTACCGAGCAAAGCAGCGTCCCTCCGATCTTGAAAGCATCAGATAGGTTCTGTGCCACACTTAAGTCCAATGTGAACGGGCATTCGGACCATAGCGGAAGTAAATAAGTAGGAGCGAGGACTGGAATCCACTGAGACGGAAGTAAATATTCAAGAGCTGGGACTGGGATGTAGTTTACCGAACCCGTTCGGCAAACCAGTCCGTTACGATGTTAGATGAGTGTGAATGACTTGCTCGAGTTCGATCAGTGGCGTTGCTGTCCGGCGGTACTCCCATATAAAAATGACGGAGATGCTTGTCGTCTCGCTTTATGGGTGTAAACTGCAGATTATGGTCTCACTTGGGGTGTTTGGGACGGAAAGTCACTCTTTCAGGTATCGGTTAGGGTTGTGCGTAAAGAAAAACTAGAGATTCATGACAATGCTTTTGAGATCTTATAAAAGATGAAGGCATTCTATGTTAACATCCTCAGCACAATAATAAACACTCTTCACTAGCTCTTACTTACTTTTTAGATGTCTGTTTTAGGGTAGTCTCCTTGAGGGGTCAGTTTAAGCTTGAGCCACACCCACATTGGTCTCCCTTAACCTTAGGGGTTTAATCAAAAATAAAACTCAAACAGCGGTAATAAACATTGCGAGTTTTCGCATTTTTATGAACTCGACGTTTCCTATGCTATTCAACATACATTTCCAAAAGTTATCTTAAGTGAACGTTAAAGAAAATGACGAGACTATATACTCAAAAATTACAAGGGTCTGGGAATGAGATTAGGGGTTTAATTTTAAAGTTCCGAGAATCCCCGTCGCTTTTATATGGGAGTCCCCCGCGCGATGCTGTTCATACAACCCGGATAGCTGTTCTAATATTTGAGTTGCCGAGGTACCGCAATTAATCGCTTAGGGTTCTGATTATATAATTTATTTCTCTTTTGAATTTATTAATCACATTCCCCGCTTTACCTTGACATCAAAGTTACCTTTGCTTTTACTTTGTTGGTAAATTTATTTGTCATTTGCAACAATATTTATATCAAGACCCACATCAAGTTTACTGATAATTTGAAGAAGGCTCAGAAGAAGTGAGGGGGAAAAAAGCCAGAATAATAATAATAATAATAATAATAATAATAATTTCTTATTCACATTTTATTGACTGGGGCCACAGCATTAGGTCTCCGCGCCACAGTTGAAAAAAGACCCTTCCCCAGTTTTTTCGACTTTTGACATGGACCAGTCAGTGAACAAACAGCTGAAAAGGGGTCATAAACGTTGTAGAATTGCCAAGTTTGAGAGATTGATTTTTTGAAAAAGAACGGAGAACTAGCTTGGAGGGGGAAGGGGAAGGTGTTCACCAACTTGCCAATGGAGATTTAGCTTGACATTTTGTCCTGATTTTTTAGCCACTGCTAAGAATTCAGGCATACAGACAGATCCTGACGAATAACATGAAAAAGTGTCCCACTGGACTTGGAAACCGTATGCTCATCTTTGTGTGAGCGTAAACAAGTCTGTAGTCCCCCAGGATGTTCAAAACCGTACTGACCACCCCCTTACTATTAAATTGATTTATCATTAATAATGCATTCAAAGTGAATAGTGAATAGTTCAGTAAATAATAAATACTTCAGAGCACTTTTAGATATCACTACACTCTGTTTCCTAATCAGTAAAAAAAACACTATCGTTGATGACTATAGAAGCACAAAGCGAATCAGTAGTTTGGTTAAAGACAAATTAAGAGTAGATGATGACACATTTGAGTCGCCTAACCCTGAGCGCCATTCTATGTCTAGCTGCGTAGTTGAAAGGAATCGTTCTTAGTTTTCGGTTTACTTTATATTTCCTGTACGATATTTTAACATAGGTTGATTACTTGCGGCCCAAAGTGTGAGCATCCTTGCGGTGTTGTGGAAAAGAATATAAAGCGATCGATTCCGTCGGCCAAAGTCGTAAGCCGTGGACATCATGCTATCATGCTACAAAATCGAGAAACGCAACTTTAAATTCGGGTGATCTATACTCTTAATGGTTCGGGGCAAAACGTTGAAAAGTTAGTCCGCCGTTGCATGTACACGTGGTTAGTTCGAGCGCGAAAAATGTTTTCGGTCCAATTCGTCGGCCATCAAAGTTGTCACCACACTCTTCATATGAAGTATTGCGACGTTGTGCGAGCGTGTCTCCATTCCAGTTCAAACATCAGTGGGTGCACCGAAAAACTGCGTAGGCTATAGTACAGGTTATTTCTCCAAGCTAAGCTGTTTGATAAATCGTTTTGCAACATCTTAAACTTGTGCAAGAAAAAAACGTCTCTTGTAATCGTTTCATCTGCTAGTTAAAGTCTCCCTTGATTGCGGCTGCCGAGTTTTTAACGTTAATATATGGGAAGCTGTTATCTGAGAACATTTTCTTGAGAAGATAGATTTCTCCAGCAATCACCACAGCAATTGAGCCTATTGCAAGACACTCAAACACCACCATGGTGTATCTATCTGTTCCGTTAAAGAGACAGCGCAGTTACTGCCATTTGAATCTTTTACGTGCAATGAGTAAAATTTGGACGTTTTCCAATACAAGGTTGACCAAAATGAAACCTCAAAGTTGCAAATTAAAACCGCATTTTTACATCTATTTATTTACTTTTTTTCTAGTTTCTTATTACATCATTAACATAACTGTCGAAAAAACACTGGCTGGAATACTATAGGAAAAACTCTAAAACTAACTGAAACTGATTCGCATTTTGTGGCTTCTTGTTCGTCAGAGACCTTCTCAAAATTGGCCCTACATTAACGAGGTTTGACAAATTTATAATCGGGTGAAAACATGCACAACACAGCAAATAGAAAACTTTTAATTAGTATTTTTATCATTTAAGCAAGGGAAAAATTCTTTCGATTTATTTGACAGCTTCACACACAAAAGAACGCGTAACTGTTGAATATGCAGAACTCGCTCAGAAGAGCTTTTGAACTAACAAAGGACGGTGTCATGTGATTGGAATAAAATGCGTATTTTGCAATGATAACAGTTTACTTTGACAGTTCTTTGGTTACGTTCTACAACCAAAAGTCCACCTAACGTGTCCGTATACCTCGATTGTCCCTATCTAAAGTTATTAAGAGCTGAGCTCTCTCACCTCGAATAAAAGGTGTGATTGTATTATTTGTCACCAAACCTGAGAGTGTTTTGCGCGATGATCGTTGCAATCAATGTGGGCTTGTGCTCCGTGATCTGGACGCAGTCCTCTTTCGCTCTTAGGGGCCTCATTTTAGTTTATGACCAGTACTAAAATCATTTAGTCAACATATTGCCTTTCTATGAAGATTACACGTATGTTATGTAGAATAAACATTTTGACGAGCACTCCTTCGAAGTGATTGATGAAAAGCTCCTCTTCTACCAGAAGTTCGTATTTAAAAAACCGTCACTACAGTTTGATCCAGTTTGTCTGTAACATCTAGCTCCATCCGCGAGTGACAAGATGTCTGCTTCGCGTCGATGCGTTTCACTTTGTCGAGCTTATCAAAGCTAAAGCCTGTCCTCGAGAAAAAAACAACTGACCAGGCGGCAAGTACGGCAGTTCCTCTCCGTTGCAAATTTTCTTCAAGAGGTAACCTTCAACAACTACGACGACCGCAATTGTAGCAGCGACAAAAATTTCCACGAACACCATGCTGTCTTCTTTAGCAACTGCTCCCAGATTTAACCAAATGAAAAAAACGAGCTGACTGATTCAGTCTTCACTCGACTCGAAAACTTGTTTACCTGAAACTCTTGTATTTTTCTATTATTTTTGTGGTTGGAATTAAGCCACTTTTTTGGTCACCTGCTCAGTATCATAATTAACGTACGGATATGAAAGAGTGCTCCCCCACCCCCCAAGAAAAACACATTCATCACGAACGTAAACATGTCTCAGTGACGTGTTTGTGAACATATTTTATTTCCAGCTTCAATTACGGGGTTTTACGCAGGAGTATTAGTTTTTTTAATCAAGGAAATTCGTCCAGTTCTGTGGTGCTACTTTCAACTCGAGAGAGTCTCTTCTTTATTTGCTGGTATTGAAATAAATATTTTTGTTTTGCGATTTGCCCAGATAACAAATATTTACACAGGAACCATGGACAAGCAATTGTTAGCTAAAAAAATGAAAACCTCAAAGGCAACATTAATGAGTGTAATGGTTACAGATTTTGAATGATGTCTTGAGGGGTGAAAACTTAGGAATAGTCGTTTTCAAGAACCACAGTCAAAAGCGATAATCCATTTTCCAATCGATACATGTATAATGAGTTTTCCCGCATGCGCAGTGGAAAGGGAACTTAATAATTTATCTAATGAATTTATGTGACTGCTATTTTAAGTTTAAGCAGTAATTACTTTTTACGTTATCCTCAATTTTCAACAAAAATAAACCTCAATTATTGATTTCTACCCAAAAAATACTTTCTCAAAGTTGCCTTTTGTTAAGTGACTGGTATGAGCAAAATTTTTTGATGGAGTTACAAAATAACATAAAACATTCACTTCTTTTACTTTTTCTTTATTGTATGTTATTTTCCCTGCGTTTCACCAGTAACACCATTAAAATTAGCCTCTACAGGGATAATCGAAAACAGAGCCGGAAAACTCAAGCCATAATTATATACGTGACGAAATACGAAAACGACGTGATGGAAAATGCTACGCTGTCAACATTTATTATTCTAGCTGAGGCATTTTATCAATAGATGTTGTCTATCCCCTTTTGCGCACATGCATTCGCCTTATGTCTTATTAGATGTCTTCCTAATAGATACTGGCAAATACATAGATATAACCATAAAAACAGCGAGTGTTCACGTAAACGTTCTCTTTAATTAATTTTAATTTTGCCTCGGAAACTGTTTACATTACTCATATTTGTAGTGTTCCACATTAATGTCCATGTTATAAACAGTGTCTCACTTATGTCAACTAATATCCTTAGGCTTTATTTGACGTTTTATACACCATTCAACTTGCAATAATTGCTCAATGTTCTTGACAGCACACAGGATGACTTGAAATGTCCTAAAATTCCACACAAGCGGATAGCGAAGCTTAGGTATAACTTCTATTTAAACTTGTTTCCCTCTAAAAAATACGCCCCGTGCAGGTTAAATACTTTATCAAATAAAGGATAAATTGTGCAGGTAAAATCAATCAAGCCATCCATCTCTGCTTCGGCTTCGTTTACAAGAGATACGACCCATCGCCAGCCAAATGGTATTTTGAGTTTAAATGAACGCGGTAAGCTTTCCCCTCACAAAGTTTCTTGAGCATATAGACATCAAGAAGCGTCAGAGCTGTAAACGTCCCTAGCACCACTATCTCCACCACGACCATGTTGAAGATAATCTTTTTCCTTGTAAGCTTCCTCGGCTCATTTATCGTAGATATGCGTCTACGAACCTAATTTGTTCAGTGTTGATATAAAGAAAGGTAAGGAAACGCTTATGTTTAATCAACTCGCTAATGGCCAATGACGCACTTGTAAAAAAATACTTGATATTTGGCAGAGTGCCTAACAGGTGGAACTGGAAATAGAGAAACGCTCCTCTCTGAGATTAAAAGGATGATTTACAAGATACATGAAGTAATACATGCAAAGAAGAAAAAACAGACGAATGAATGTCATCTTTTTCAGATCATCTTATTAGAAAGATAATATGACAAATTTGGTTTTAAATCTCATGAAATGAAAATTTAAAGGTACTAGTTTATCTAATTAACCGCTAAAGACTTTCAAAATATAAGTCGCAAAATTGAATTTAGTAAACATGCTATGTTATGATATACGTACATTGTTGTTCTTTCACGAATCCTAAAACAGTTGTTCAAAACTAAGAAAAAACTTTTGACACTCATCATTTTAAGTCAGGCTTTGTGGCATTTTGCATTTTACTCCTTGAACTGAGTGAATTGGAGAGTGTTCGTCACACGTACAAGTAACTTCATAGCTATAGATTCCTACAAAATTCTCTACATCTTTGATAGACAAAGTGTTAGGTTACATATCCTTCTTACCGAAGACGTCATTCTATCTTTCCCTTATTAGAGCTTCTTAGCTAGTCTTTCGATGTAAATGACCCTAACATCTCACAGAGGTGATTTTAGACCTAATTTTCGCACATCCGCAATTGAAATGCAACTTATAACTTCTTTAAACCATTAACGATAATGCATATAATGTAACTGAAGTTCTCAGTAGCTCTTAGCGCTGAAATCTCCACATCAAGAAATGTCGCGCGTGAAGAGTTCATCTAGCAAAGGCAAAGTAAGGGACTGTCAAGGGCGGAAACTGGGCAGGCCGTTCGCCATCTTCGTCTTGCTCTCTCCGTTGTCCAAAGCATTGTTTTAACAAATAGATATCCAGGATGCTCAAGCCAGCCACGATTACTCCGAGAAATACAGCTGTAACCACCATAATAATTAAACTCCAAGCTTTTGCTTTTTCAGTTCTGCATGTGAACAATTTAAACTGAGCTGAATGCACAACATCACGCTCCAGTAAATATAATGAAATTGCTATTCTTTGACTAGATGGTTGGAAGGCTTCCAAAAAATATTACCACCTGTAAAAAAAATGACATGCAAAATAGTTATGCATATGGCGATCTTCAAAGTTTGTGCTCAATCCTTGACTTTTATCACAGACAAGATATATGATTCCAGTAAATGATGAAATAAAGAGCTTTTGCCAAAAAATTTCCAACTAGAACTCAGAAATTTTTTTTCTGAGTTCTTCTCTTCACACATATATTTATTACATTGTAGTTAGGCTGAAAAAAAAAAACACTGAAATTAGATTAAATGCTGACAATTCCAGATTATAAGAGCAAAAACCTTTTTTGCCCTCAATAATCTCCAGTCTAGATTTTTTTATACGAAATTATAACGGTTAGAATTAATTAAGCGATTAGAATGGCCAATTCTTGGAATTATATTCAGGACACTGGAGCTTTATCTCTTATTAAAGAGCAAAAAAAGATTGGCCAACTTCGTTGTTACAGGGTTGCGTTTTTCCTTTTTACCACTTCTTTGCAACAGTTTCGTTTTATTTAATTATTTCATCTTGTTTTGGCTTGTTTGGCGGCTTTGAAGATCAAGTATTCTGAAATATTGTATCTCTTGCTTTCTGGAATCTATGCCGTACGTATGGATTTCTGTTGTTTTCTTAATATAGTCACCTGTAAAAATTGATATGTAGTTCAGTTACGCATGCGGGCAAATCGCATTTGCCTGGAGGTCATATGCAGGTGAATTAGTAGTTTTTGTTTTTCAAAGATCAATTTTTGCCAAGTTCGCAACTTTCCCTACAGTTTTCCCACAGGCTAAAAAGTACTCATCCGTTCTCGTTACGTAAGTTGGAACTGACTAACCTTATATCACTGAAAATAAAACCCCCTTATATGTTGTATCAAAAATATGTCATTAAAAAAGTAAAAACAGGGAAAGATTTTCCGCATTCAGGCTAATAATTCGCCCCATGTAAGGAATTATTAAAATATTAAATTTGCTTGTATGAAATCCGTAATATCGAATCCAATAAAATTTTTCCGGAATCCTGGGTTCTAGAATCCGGAATTCCACCAACGATCGGAATCCAGAATAAAAGTTCCACTGAAATCCAGTAGCTGGAATCTGGAATCTATGGCGTGAAATCCAGAATCCAAGACTGTCTTGGATTCTCTTACATGGCGTGAAATATTACTCATGAAATAAGTTAGTTCAGTACCAATTAAGAAATGGTAAACGTGCAGCGTGCAACCATGGAGTTATGGATGCACGCGAGAGCTTGCTAAGCACGAAAGAAGCCACGAGGCGATAGCCGAGTGCAACTCTAGCGGGGGTTTTCGAGTTCTTAGCAATCCTCCCATTTGCATCCATAACTCCATGGTTGCACAGCTGCAACGTTAACAGAACATACTATGTGCTTAAGTTGCAAGCTATCTGCTTACCTGCAAGCAAGCTGTCTATCGAGCAAACCTCTTTAGAGTTAGGAATTTCCCCTCAGTCAATTCCACGATCCATTGCATTGAAGCGAATATATTCTTAATTTTTTTTCACTGTTTCGTGCACAAAGTTAAATTCTGCTTTATCAGTTTATCACTTGACGTAATTTCTCATCCGATACTTGTGCCTTTGTCGAAGGCCGCAACACAAACTTCCCACGTAGTAAAGATGAAATATTGTTACTCCAGCTACCACAAGTACAGTCACCAGAATGGCAACAGAGAACATCTTTGCCCACAGGGAACCTTGATTAAACGTTCGTGAAGCGTGGGCGTATTTTCCATTTAGATTTTCGCTTCAGAACTCGTTCTGTATCTCGGAAAATCCTTGCAGATTTCATTCAATTTTACTATTTTGTTTCTAAAAAGCTCTTAAAGGTGCGACAATTCCTTCGGTTAAATGAAACGGGTAGTTTGTTTTAGAGGTGTGCTGGTCACTTAATTAGCGGAATTATAAGAAACACGTTTGCAAAAATTCAGCCTACGAATGCTAATTTATATCATTAGAACTCCTGCAAACTAGGGCAGGTATGTTTAATGTGCCATTTTGAAACTCGTTTATTATTTAGCAGGAGAAGTTGTTGATTTACATAGTGCTTATTACCTGCCTTAGTAGCTCTTAGTGAAACAACATACAGGTTTATTTAGAAACCGTCCTCATATAATAATGTTCATGTGCCTTTAAGACCCTCTGGTGCATTTTCTGGTACTTGTATTGAGAGAGTGCCACATAATGTACGTTGCCAATTTTGCTGACAATTTTGCTAACAAGACTTGTTGTGCTAGCTGGGAAAAAGTTTGATTTTACGCATGCACACACACCATTACACATGCAGTTACCCGAAGTCCCTTTTTGAGAGGGTCTTTGATATGAACTAATTTTCATGCAAATAAAACTTAATTGCCAAGTTTAGTATTACTGAAACAGACCTATGTTCTCGACTTTTTGATCGCTCTTTTGGTTGTTATCTTGTTTTCTGCTCTTTGCTTTTATTAGTTCAACTTCTTCTTAGGGGTTTTTTGACATTGTTGTAAAGACGGTTTCTTCCATCATAGTAGGAAGACCGATTCGTTTTCTTTAGATTTCGCAGTGTGTAGATTTACTCGTAACCGGAGTGTCTCCCTAAAGTTTCCAGTTATAACAACCAAAAATCTGTGGTCGTTTTTCTTTTCTTTTTCTTCTTTGGAACGCAGCGGAAGGAAAAAAATCAAGAAACTTCATGAGAAGACAACGTAATGCAGAAGCGTTCCTTGAACAACGGAAAACATTAAGCCTCTTGCTTGATGCACCTTGCTAAGCGTAGTACTAAAGACAACTTCCCAAACGAAACTGTGTCCTTTTTCATTATTACAGGCTGGCCTAACCACAAAAGATTCTCCAGACCGTCTCCTCATTGCCTTAGAACCGGAAGCAGCCTCGATCTATTGTCGGAAGTTACGTTTGCGGGACTGTGCATGGGCAGAGGAGACAAAACGGCGTTCTACTGTATCTTCACAAATGGATGCATTGGTCGGAGATGAATTTCAAGGTACTTATTTGAACAAAAAACAAATGACCACCCACCCACTCAGTGAGGAGCGCTTCAAATAACGTTCTCAAGAGGATAAAACCTGACCACTTTTTCTTTTTTTCCCTTTCCCTTTTTTTTATTTTCTACTTTATCCTTTTTGTTCCGTCCCTACTTTGTTTCGCTTACCTCCATCAGACACCATCTTTCAACCTATAACGCGTCAACAGAAAATAATTTACTCTCTTTTGAAAACATCAACCCGCTGCAGAACCGCAACCTCTTTCCCATGGTTTTTACCCTTAGAAAGTGAGAGTCCCATGGTAGACCCGTTCTTTTTCTGGCACCGCGGAGATCATAAACTTTTCCATTTTCGAGATAAGCTTATGCCGTTATTCACTTCTTTGTAGAGCGTAATTTTTGACCGAGAAGTAGTTATAAAAAAGTATTTATTTTGTAGTAAAAGAAAACAACAACGAGACTGAAAACTTGCATGTTTTTAAACTTTATTTTGGCAGGTATGTTGCAAAACAAATTTCTGTGAAAAGTGGAAACAGTAAGGAACACGGACACTCAAGATCAACACGCCGGCAGCATGAGAGCACGTTAAGCATGTACACAGCAATATTCCCTGGGAAATGGAAGCCATGGACAGCTGTTTCTCTGGGTTATACCTTACTGATGAGTCCTAACAAGGACGAAACATGTACAGCTAGCTGCCAGTGGCTGCTACTTGCCGGGTAATATGGCTGTGCTCGTGCATAATGTACCAGTTATGGTGCGGGAACCACGTGGTTGGTGTTCGAGTGTGTCCCTTGCTGCCTGTCAGTTTTAAATTTCTTATTTATTTGACGTTTCACTGAGATAAACAAGCGTGATAAAGAAGCAAAAAGGTAACTGTTACAAAAAAAGTTTGATCGTCTAGGCAGGGTAATGGTTTGTACGTGTACTTTGCTCACGCATTCTATTTTCCTCCAGGGAACACGCGTTATTTGGTTGTCGATTGTGGCGGCGGCACTGTGGACCTTACGGTGCATGAATTAGACGCCCAGACGGGTACCTTGCAAGAGCTCCACAGGGGCACTGGAGGGGCCTGTGGAGCCACTGGCGTCGATGAACAGTTTGAACTTCTCCTAAAGAAAATTTTTGGCAAAGACTTTATTGAACAGTTCAAAAATAAGCGGCCTGCGGGATGGGTCGATCTTATGATAGCTTTTGAGGCAAAGAAGAGAACTGCAAGCCCAAACAAGACAAACCCACTAAATATCTCAATACCTTACTCCTTCATTGACTATCACAGGAAACATAAAAGCTCCAGTATTGACTCGGTTGTGAAGAAGTTTGGAAATCCAAACGTGAAATGGTCTTCGCAGGGAATGTTGCGAATTGCTCCGGAGACCATGAAAGAACTTTTTGATCCTGTTCTGACTGAAATTGTTCAGCATATCAACAACCTTATTAGCAAAGAGAATGTCCAAGGACTAAATTTTCTTTTCCTCGTTGGAGGGTTTGCTGAGTCCCCGTTGCTTCAAACGACTATTCGCGAAGCCTTTGACTCGAAAATGAGGGTAATTATTCCACAAGAGGTCGGGCTGACAATTTTACGAGGTGCTGTGCTCTTCGGGCTCGATCCTACAGTCGTGCAAGTTCGGAGGGCGGCAATGACCTACGGAGTGGGAGTTCTCAATCGGTTCGTCAACGGAAAACACCCGAGAAACAAGCTCGTGAAAAAATCGGGCGTGGAATGGTGCACTGATGTTTTTGATAAATTTGTGACTTCTGACCAGCCAGTAAAGCTTGGTGAGATTGTTACCAGACGATACGCGCCTGCCAGATCAGGAAAAACTTCAACAACCATCACGATTTATTCCACCCAGCGTGAAAATGTTACTTTTGTTACGGACCAAGGAGTGAAGAAATGCGGTCAGCTATTATTGGAAATGCCTGTAGTAGACGATTACGATTTCAACAAACCAAGAGAATTGAAGGCGTGTATGATTTTTGGTGGCACCGAGATTAAGGTTACAGCAGTGGACATTTTGTCCGGTAAAGAAGCAAAAGCAAGCATTAATTTCCTGTCCGTATAAAACTCTAAAAGAACCTTGAACTTCGTTTTTCTCCCCTTTGTTATTTATTATGTTTTTTTTTTTAAAAAGACCATCATGGTCACTAGATTGCTCAGGCTCGATTTCCAGCCCGGGGGGAGGGTGGGGGTACTACGGGGACGCTCCGCTCGAAAGGGGTACCTTTTCCACGGCCTCAGCATTTCATTAGTTGAAGTATGTAAAAGGGGTAGCCTAAAAGGGCTAATAGTATACAACTATCCCCCTGTCGAAGGGGAGGTGAATGATGGTGTGGATATACCGAGACGCGAAGCTTCGAGGTATACACCTCGCGCTGTTCACCGACCCTGAGGGGGATAGTTTGTTCTATTATTTACCAAACCAGTTGCATAAAAATTAAAAAAGTAACTTTTTGTAAATTAAAAACGTCACTTATTAGAAACTTTGTTTACAATTTAGAAACATTTCAGGATTTTTCAAGTGCATTTTACAATTTTGTTGCAAATTCAGCATGAAAATAATTTTCTACCTACCAGTGAACTCCGACAAGCCAAAGTTCGTCGCTTTCTTGGTATTTGTTTGTACGACTGCTTCATTTATCGCACAAATTGCGTCTTCCGAAAATGTCCCAAAACGAGACGCCATCTTGGCTCCGGTCGCAAAACAGTGAATGGCCAAGGACATTCCGAGTTACGGGAGCCAATCAAAACGCGCGAAAATTGCTATTCACTGATTTGGAATTGGGGAGCTAATAAAATACAGTAAAGCATCGTTATTTTAGGAATTAAGAATAAACGGAATTTACTCTAGCAATCGTTTGTTTAGTCATTCTTTGCGCTGTAGCATCTGCGCGCGAACCCATGCAAGGTTCCTGATAGCTGCATACCGTGAATTAACAATTTGGACGAGGTTGAGCAAAATATCGTGATTTGTCTGTGGCGAGCAGATCAATTATTTGCCTGAGCCGAAGGCTGAGGCAAATAATTGATCTGCGAGACATTGACAAATCACGATATTTTGCGATAACCGAGTTCAATAATTGTTTTATCATTCGATCACCGAGTTTGTTTTTTTAATGAATATCCTCGGGAAGCGAAGCGATCTGCCATTTTCACGCAAGAGCGATCGCAAGAAGGAGAAAAGCACGGTTTCCTTTACGCATGTGCAGAATATTATTTGCAGCCAAACACAGTTGGATGGCATTGCGCATGAGCAGACCATTATTTGTACGCAATTATTTGCAGGTCACGTGATGGGCTCTCGGCCAATGAAAAGAAAGAAAAATTTGCTTCGAATGGTAGTCAGCAATATTCAACTGAAAATACAGTTGAACCTCTCTTCAATGGCCACCTTGGAGACTGAAGAAAGTGGCCATTTTGGAGAGGTGACGGTTAGTGGAAGTTTGACTGTACCATGGCGGTGGCTCACAAATCCTAACAGAAGGAATATGTAATTACAGTCGAACTTCCATGTGCGACCACCTCCCAAAAACGACCACTTATCCAAAACACCAAAGTTTCCACGTCAAATCAGGGGTACCGAACGACGTTTTCCTCCCCCGGCCTAAATACATTACTCTAAGCAAGACTGTTATGTAGTCTCTGTGAACGAGGTTGAGTTTTTTCAATAGTAGCCTGTCAGCAAACTCCCTCCCCATTTTGAGAGGATGCTCAAGCCATTGGCTAACTATAAAAATCCTAATTCTATTTGCTTAGCTTAATAACTTTAAAAACAACAACACAAAGAAACAAAGTCATATGATACATATTCACCTTTTTAATTTGGGGAAATAGAAAGTGAACCATGATTTCAGCGATGCTTTTAAATAACTTCACTAACTAAAAAGTCCACTTTGTCCTCAGGAATAGGACAGAAGAAAATTTACATCATTTCATTTTTTGCTCCCTTTTCTCGTGCTTTTAAAGAGTTTTTATCTCCTCAGACACACAAAAGCTTACATTATCACCAGCGTTCTTAAAAAGGCTAAAAGATGGGAGGTAACAACCTTCGGGTCCAAGCCCTTACGCACTGATAGATATGGTAACCTTTCCATGACCTTTTCTAAAAAATGGTACCCTTTTAATGCTCTATGGTTCATAATAACAGCTTTGTCTTTTATTTTCCATTACAAATCCTAGATACGATCAGTAACTGAAATACCTGATGTTTGCAGTGACCCTATTATACAGACATGAGTAAAGGGAGGCCAAATTTGGATAGCACTTTATTTTGGTTGTTAATTTAATTATCTGTTCTTCACAGTCCCTTTTTTAAAATAATACAGTGTACTTATTTTTAGACTCCCACTCTCAACACCCCACTAACTAGTAAAAGTTGGTAGGTGAATGATACGTGTTGTGTCTTATGTTTGAATTACACTGTCATCAGCTTAAAGCCAAACTTAACAGCTGTATTGTAGCAGCAAGTGAATTTGGTATCGTCAGCTGTGGTAATTGGGTAAATAATTATTCCCCTCTGCAAATGTACTCTGTAGCTGACATGCTGGCAAGTTTCTCCAAGAAATCCAGAATGTTGAGCTGTAAGTACATGCACGCAGAGTAGGTCTGAGTTTCATGATCTAAATTTTAACTCAAATCTTCTTGATCAGCAGGCATAACTTCTTGCCTAAGCTAGACTCCACAGCCAAATAAAAGAACTAAGCCAGCATTGATAGATTTGTGACAATACATTATCAATCAAAGTCAGGAATATCTTCGAATGAATATCCTCTGTAGCCCTTCCAGGCATAATATGCTATTCTGACATGATAAAATCCTGGGATGAACATTAGAGAACCAAGGATCAACACTGGGTACGTGCGATCAGCATACTGTAAATAGGAGAAAATACCAGTAAAATAAAGTTACTGTAAAGGCTTGTGAATTTTAAAAGTTCTTTGAGAGAGAAATTGGGAGTAAACGAAGTACCAATAAATGTATTGCAAAATGTACAAGACCATCAGATGAAAAACTCAGTAACAGTAACTTTTGTGAGGCAAAGAAAAATTAGCCTGATTCACTTTTAAACCACAAACACAATCTACATGCCTAAACAGCCACTCTAAAAATGGTGGCAAGTTTAAGATTTTTCATCTATATTCAAATCAGGCCTCACAAACCTCACTCCAGATAAGATGATTCTTTATCTGAATAATTTTTGTTCTTAAGAAATTATGAGGTCAGTGAAGGTCATTATAATCAATAAATATTACAATGAACAAGTTCTACCAAAGAGGATTCTTTGAAATAGTAACACCATAGGATTTCATCTACAAATTTACTAGTTAGAGTGACAAGCTCTGAACCTATGAAATCCAAGGTGTTTAGCATACAAGCTGCACGCAAAATCAAAGATTTCTTTGTTGCCCCAAGACAAAGCTGGCTGCAAGGGTCACTGAGTACTGTTTGGGCCCAGCCTGGTATTTAGAGAAGCAGGTCCAGGAATTTTTTATAATTGGAGGGGTCCAAGCATGTCCTCACTCTTCGGACTTTTTTACAGCCTATTACAAGCCATTTCCTACCTAGTATACATGCAACCCTTCGATTTAAGTACAGTTATTTAAATTCAATAAACATTTCAGTCTGAAGGGTGTATTTATGGGATCCAGACCCCCTGGACCCTCCCCCTGGATCTGCCATGGGTATTTACAGTGTAACTACCTTGACGTCAATATAGCCTGTAAACAGCAAAGATCCAACCACAAGTAAAACAGTTCCCACAGAGAATAAAAATACTGCCAACAGTACAGCCTTCCATGGCACCTTGGGAGGTGGTTTGACAAACTGAAAGAAAGGAATTATTTTGAGCTTCAGAATTACTGGTGCTTTAAAAGTATTTTATATTATTTTCTTAACATAATATCAAAGGGAAGGATGACATAATCCATAGTTTATCTGTGTTTGCTTGTGGAAGAGGCTGAGTGTTGACTTTGCTTTCGCAGACCAGGGATCATGAGTTTGAGTTCATTGAGATATATTGACAGAGATGATAGGGATATTGCATTTTATACTGGACCCTGTGCCCTCCCCAGTTAACCCTTTAACTAACATTTGTACGATATCACCTGAAAGGAGCCTCCTTGGGTAAACTACATGTACATGTATCTCCCCAGTTTTATGATTTTGCCCCTGGACTGTTTCAGTGCTTTTTACATGAGGTAGTTGTCGTGACAAAATCTACCAATTTTCTTAGCTGTAGAATCCCTGTTCATGTCATCTGTCGAGCTTTAATGAATTGTACTGGGTGTTATTCTCTTCAACTGACCTTCAACCTGGATCAAAACTTGCAATTCTGAAGATAAATCTTCAAGCAAAGGAAAACAAGTTCTAAAGACTCGTAATGGCAATTGACTAAATTGACTCGATAGTATGAAGCAACTCTGAGAGTTGAAATTGGAAACAATTTGGTAAAATATTGACAATAAATCTTACCAATAACAATAATTATTTTATTGCTGTATTTAGAAGAGCATTCCGCGACGAACATTTGGATATATAGTTAATGGCCCTGGGAGTTATAGTATAAAAGCTGTTGGCATATTTTCACATCACAGCTGCAGTGATAAATTTTTGAAAAACATTTGCCAGGTAAAGGTTAAGGAGTAGTTGCCTTTTCTTCTTACCCCTGAAGATATAGTAGATTGTATTTACCTCTGAAGACTTCCATAAAACATGGGTCTACCCATTGAAGAATATGGGTCTACCCTGAAGAATATGGGTCTATTGCTGAAGAATATGGGTCTGCCCCTGCAGAATATGGGTCTACCCACTGACGAATATGGGTCTGCCCCTGCAAAATATGGGTCTGCCCCTCAAGGATATGGGTCTACCCACTGAAGAATATGGGTCTACCCCCTGAAGAATATGGGTCTGCCCCTAAAGAATATGGGACTATCCACTAAAGAATATGGGTCTACCCACTGAAGAATATGGGTCTACCCCCTGAAGAATATGGGTCTGCCCCTCAAGAATATGGGTCTACCTACTGAAGAATATGGGTCTACCCACTGAAGAATATGGGTATACCCACCGAAGAATATGGGTCTACCCACTGAAGAATATGGGTCTACCCCCTGAAGAATAAGGGTCTGCCCCTGAAGAATATGGGTCTATCCACTGAAGAATATGGGTCTACCCACTGAAGAATATGGGTCTGCCCCTAAAGAATATGGGACTATCCACTAAAGAATATGGGTCTACCCACTGAAGAATATGGGTCTACCCCCTGAAGAATATGGGTCTGCCCCTCAAGAATATGGGTCTACCTACTGAAGAATATGGGTCTACCCACTGAAGAATATGGGTATACCCACCGAAGAATATGGGTCTACCCACTGAAGAATATGGGTCTACCCCCTGAAGAATAAGGGTCTGCCCCTGAAGAATATGGGTCTATCCACTGAAGAATATGGGTCTACCCACTGAAGAATATGGGTCTGCCCCTCAAGAATATGGGCCTACGCCTTAAGAATATGGGTCTACTCATGAAGAATTTCACAAAAATTAAAGATCCACCCCTGAAGAGTACCATAGTTTTATTACCCTACCCCAGAAGAAATCCTCAGTTTTTACATTTGATTATACTCCTGAAGAATTTCATTAGTCCTCAAACGGGAGGTACTGTACAGTACCGCAAATGATCCCCAACCGCAAATGATCCCGAGACCGCAAATGATCCCCAAAATGGACCGCAAATGATCCTCGACCGCAAGTGATCCCCAAAGTTGACCACAAATGATCCCGTGAAAACTTCAGGAATGGATTGGATTTTATGGAACTGATTACAAAAAAGGACTGATTATAAAAAAGGAACCTTTTTCTCGCGCCTTCTAAAGAAAAAGGGAAGGAGGATGCTTCATCTCAGGTCAATTTATACAAGGCCAAAAAACTGAAAGTGGAATAAACCTGAAAAGGATATGGTATCAACCATATACTTCTTCCTTTGTCAATTGCTTCAATTTTCTTTAAAGAACTGTTTCGTCGCTGAAAATTTAAGACAGGCAGGACGTTACGCAGAAAAAACTCTATTATTTTAACGCCCAAGCTCAACTTGTCTACTGAGGGATACAAAGCCGGGCACCCTCTACATAACAAGAGCTTTATTGACTTTACTGATCTTTTTAGAAGTGTCGAATTAATTTTCAGAATATTTAGTTTTGATTTTTCTCTGAAGTGTTAATTTTACGTGATAAAAAGCAAGACATTGGTTCGTAACTTAGGAGTGCCCCAGGGCTGGGAGTGCCCGTTACGAAACAAGACATGATTTGAAATAAACACACGTCAAAATGCCCCCGAACTTATCAATGTCCACAGGTTTCGGTTTATTGAAAGAGCAACTTGCTTACAGCTCATGAGATGTTGCGAATAGTTATATTGACACTTATATGTATACCCATTTGTTGTGTCTTTGCTGGAGACAGTTACCAGGAATCTAAACCTGGTAATGAGAAATGCAAAAGCGAGGCAAGCGGTAGTTATCGCGTGACAAAACATCGTAGGAACCGTCACATTCACTGACTAAAAGAAAGTCGCTTATAATTATTCGGATCCATGAGGCACTTTAAAGAAAATTAAACAACCTAAAACCCTTATTTAGCCGCAATGAAAAGCATTGCATTTCAAAAGAGGTCAAAGGAAATGCTCTTGCATTAAAGGACAAATCATGCTGACCAGAAACAACAATAACCGCAGAAAATGCGTGTCATGACCTCTCAGTATGAAATAAGTGGCAAAAATCACATTTGCTCAGTCAAAACAGTTTCCTTCAGAGGTATAATCTACCCGCCAGAAAAAAAATTCATTGGAACAAGCAGCATTTTGGCATGAGGTAAAAGTCGTGTGTTGCCTACTGACTTCGTTTTTGCACTTGAATGCTTTTTTTATTTAGTTTTTATTCATGTATTTATTTAAGAACTGAAATTTGTATAGGTAATAGCATGATTAGTAGTGATATTTGGCATAAATACCACGAGTGATATTTCAAAATTGTTATACGTAATTTCGCGAGCCATTAGGCGAGTGAAATTTGAGACAATTTTGAAATATCACGAGTGGTATTTATGCCAAATATCACGTACAAATCATGCTATTATTTGTTTATACTACTACCCGCAAAAGGTTTGTAATTTTCACATGAAGGTATTTCAAATTAAGCTGAAATACCACTGCTCTAGGCCAATCAAATTGCAGAAATTTTTCATGTAGTAGTATAAAGCGTTTAATCTTACTTTTTGTAATAATAATGAAATAGACACGATGATCCGCTAACTCGAGTCTAAGCCATTCCTATTTTTCTTTCGGGATCATTTGCGGTCAACTTTGGGGATCACTTGCGGTCGAGGATCATTTGTGGTCCATTTTGGGGATCATTTGTGGTCTCGGGATCATTTGCGGTTGGGGATCATTTGTGGTACTGTACAGTACCGATGTTAAATGCAATAGCCCATACTGTATGTTGTTGGAAAAATTTATTCTTAGGTTCAACCAGTAGTGAACCTACAGCTGTAGTCCGACTCAGAATTTCCCTCGTTTCCTAGACATGAGTATTCATTGGAGACAGAGGAAATTCTGTTTTAATCTGAAGAAGGAATTAACTACAACTGATTCTCTTCTGTCAAACAACACCCGGGTTCAAACGAGTGAAAACTTACTAACCTGAGCATCAATGTAACCATCATCGTTAGAAATCTTCTTGTACTTGACTTTACTTCTTATCATTGTTGTAGGCATTTTAAAAATTGAACGCCGTGATCGTTTCTGATTTTAATTTACAAAATTCGTTCAATCCTCAGTGACATTGAATGAACCATGATCAATGTAACCTCGCCTGCACAGTTGACCTAACAATGTACAACAGGAAGAGCCTGGGTATGAGAGAATTGGGATGGAGAGAGAACTGTAGAAACAAACTGTTTCCGAGAAGTTTTCGGACTAAGAGTTGTTTACAAGTAGTACTATTGCCTAAAATAAATTTTTACAAATGTAAATGGCCAAGTTGTTTTCATTTCTCTTTCCACGCGAATACGTGGTCAATTTATCTGTTGTGACCAGTTTCCATGGTTTTTTTATAAACTGGCAAGTTACGTGATCTCCATATTTGGTAGCGGTCGAAGCCGCGGTAGAAGATGTTGTGATTCAGGAAAATGAGAATGTCGTCTTTCGCCACAAAGTTTCAGGTTTTTCTTGGTAATAATTTATTTCAGAGGCTTTGATCACTTGTCGATTGATCTAAAAATTTGGAGCGATGGACGGAGAATGTCTGTCTGTCACAGTCGTGGAAAAAGTCACGAAGATTGATACACTTGGAGGCTATGTGTTCTTGGTGTTTCTTTTTTGTCTTATCCTGGGATTTATTCTTGGGCTACTTCTGGCACGCTGCATACTGCGGGAATTAGAGGTACTTTGTTTCTTAGAATTAGAGTGTAAGAAATACGTTATGAATTATGTAAACATGCTTTACATACATTTGTACATGTAGCAGCTGAGCTAGTGATTAATAGCAATCCATGTGGAGCTTTTCAAGAAGTTTTCGAAAATTTTACTTGAATTTTCCTGTGGATGAAAAACTCAAGCAAAAAAACCAAAGCCATAATAATAGACTCAAAGTGATGAAGAACAACTTCCTTCTAGGCTTGCTGTATTAGTCTCAGCTGGGGCTAATGGTACTCAGTGACTCTTCTGCCCTTCCAAAGAGGTATCCCACATTAATAGACAACCATGAGACATTTTATTTTGTCTCCACAATGGTATAAGAAATATTTAAATTTTGGTACGAGTTTTTTGTCCAGACATAACTGTTGAGTCCCTGCAGCAAGCTGTCCATGATGGCTGGCAGGTGTCTACATTGTGTGTGACAGGATTTGATTTCAGGTTCAATTTTTAACATCGGTTTATTCTCAATTTCCTCTCTCTCCTAGGGCTAGGAGACAAAGGAAATTGATAGTCAACTTAGGTTAAATTACCAAAATTAACCTGAAATCAAATTTAACCTTTAACGTCTACAAGGCACCTCTTGAAGTTGCTAAGGCTGGCAGAACTAACTTTGAATCATTTTTCTAGAAGAAAACAACAACAATCTTTTAGCTACAAATGTAAGCTGTAATAATTTGTGCAGGAGGCACACTATTTGGGGACATAATTTTGCAACAAGATATTGTGAACAATATTAATGCGCAAAATTCAAATTACCAGTATGTGCCCTAAGTGTGCATAAAAAGCTACTTTATAAATGAATATTTTTTATATACCTGTAGCATTAATTTTGTTAATGTTATTTTGTAAATTGATATCATCAGGGCTGTCTTTAAGGTCAGGATTGGCTGGGGATTTCCCCTGGCTACTAAAAAACCCATGCGTTAATTTGTAGGCGTAGTTCCTCCTGTTGTAGTCCATGTTACAGGTCAAATTTGATCTCAGGTTAATTTTGATGTAACCTGGGTTGCTTCTCAATTTCCTTTTGTCTTCTAGCCCTAGTAGACAAAGGAAGTCAAGAATTGACCTACTGTAGGTTAAAAATTTTTAACCTGAGAACAAATTTGACCTGTAACATCTACATGTATCTCTCATGGAGGAAGGGACTGTTACGGATCCGCAGAAGTTGGTGCCATTCGCTGTTGTGTTGACCCTACCAACTTGGTGAACCTAAGTAAATAAACAAATAAAAAAAAAATTCACACCTGGCCATTCTGATAGGAAAATAGAAGCTGTGTTGTTGCCTGCTGACTTGATGTATTTACCCGGCAACTCTCAATCTTAGCGATGGTCCTGATCATGTTTACTTACAGTACAGCTGTACATTTTAAATAAATATGTCTCATTCTTCAGGAGGAGTACTCTCAAAAAAGAAACAAATCCCAGTCTGTAGCAATTTTATTGGAGACAGAAGATGAAGTGCGGGTGCAAGAAATGGCGACAAAGGTATTAAGTTTAACTATATAGTTATTTACTGAGATGTTATTATAATGGTTCTGTGTACCGGTATAATACAAATTCCTTGAATGTTGCCTTTGTTCAGGCTACCATGAACGCTTTTAGCAGCAAAAGTATACAGTTGTTTTAAAAATTGAGGAAACTCCAGATCTTAAAATATGATACTGCCTTTGCCATGCAAATGGCTAGACCTTCATGTGGCTTAGATGAGCATAAGTTTGGAAATTATGGAGGCCCCATCTCCAGTACGTTATCAGTACTTAAGTGCTAAATCCATTGACACTGTAATAAAGAAGGGTTTATAGTGTGTGTAAGTGAAAACACTATATAATATCATGTTACTTTTAATATAATAGTTATTATGAATCACTAACTCTGTAACCAGTGGTTTCTTAAACATGTAATAAAATATACGACATGTCTTTGATTTGATTAGTATTGTTGTTGTGAATCACTCAATACTCTGTAACCAGTGGTAGACTCTGATATAATTTTTTACTTTCTTTGATTTCATTTTTTTTTTCCAATCAGAAAATGGGCAGTAACAGAATTGCCCCCATGCCAACAACACCAGCAAAGAACACAGCTGATATTGCTATAGAAATGCAGCCCACTCATCTCAGTACTGGCAGTCTTCACAGTCAAGCAGCACAAACTGAACCAGATAATAATGACCAGTCTGTGGTTTATGCATTAAGCAAGTCTTCAGGGTATGCTTGGATTAAATTATATTCTTTACAAGACAGTAAAATTAACAGACAAATTCTCAGTCTACCTTTTTAGAACACTTTCCTTGGGTTTTCTACAGTGTAACAGGTGGAAGGATTACAAGTAGAACAACAGACCAAGATTGTGTTCAAATTTTAATTCTTGAATCCTTAAACAGATTTTCAGTTTCTTTGCACAAAATTTATCCAAAATAATGTACATTCAGAATGTTTTTATTAGGAGAAGTATTTAGGATAATCTTGGGATCTGTGCATTTCTTTGGACACTCTGAGTCCCAAAAATTGTACATCACCTGGCATTAGCGGTCTTCTCGTGCATTAAAATATGGAGCACACTATTATAGAAACTATCTTTTTTCCTGGAAGAAGATTATCTGAGTTAAAAAATCTAATCTGATCTCAGACTCTCCTTGTAAGTGACCGTTACATGAACATGTACTAATTAACAAGCCTTTTAAATGTTTGCATGGGTGGTTTAATATTGCCTTGGGCGATTTCATTAAAACCCCACACTATACTTTCTGCTGGATTACTTTTTGTCAAATCTTCTTTGTTTCTTTAAATGATTTTATATATCTTGATAACTTACACTGTATTGGTTTAATATAATGGTTACTAAAATTTAATTGTGATAAATTGTATATGTTGTAGTTACATTTTTTTTTAATCGGTTCAAAATTTTTAACTCAGGTCGAGGTTTTATTATTTTATACCAGCTTAATTTTTTCAAATACGTCACTTTTTGTATGTTATTTAAATCTTTAATAGATTTTTAACCATTTTTTCAGTGAAGAGATGGAAGTTGTACTCCAAAATCAAGATTTCAGGTCCATCGAAATCATGGAAAACAACTTGCAGCTTCAAAAAAATGAAGTGAGTTTAATTTTCATTGTGATCAGAGACATTCTGCCTGTCTTCCCTTGGAAGGTAACTTGAAATTTTCGAAATGCCGGTTCCAAGATGTTTCAATTCAAAAAACTCCCATGAGTAGTGTAGATATGTTTTGGAACATTAACAGATCGTCTAACATGTTCTAGATTTTACAGCAGAAGAAGAAGTCATGTACTTTTCACTGTTGTTCTAGGGGTGGGAGGAGTGCAGACCCCTTGATCTGTTTTTAGACTCAACTGGGATCCATAGAGTTTCTCAAACGTCTCCTACTTCAGCTTGCTTTGATTTCTACTTTGATATGTTATTGAAACTGCCACAAAGCTCTCATCATCAGCTTTTATACGTGGCCAGGAAATAGAAGTTGCTACATAAACATGTATTTTTAGGGGATTTCAAGAGGATGTTATTTTACATTGTATTATTAATCACTCTGTAACATGTTTTTTTAACAATGTTTGTTATCCTATATTTATTTATTACCAGACATTTTTACAGTTGTTAAAGATGATACTGAGCTTCTTAGTGAGCAAATCCAGGATAACTGAAGGCTTTCGCAGAGATTCCCTTGCAAAATATGAGCAGGTAAGATTGTAGTAATGATGTTGATGATGGTGCTGGTGGTGCTGTGATGATGATGATGGATGCTTCTTTCTTGTTAAAAAGTTAATTTACTATTAAGTCAAGTCTTAAGACTTTAATTTTTTAATAATAGTGAATGCATTAAATTTAGGCAATGGAGGACATTGACAGAAATGCAAAGGAGGAAATGAAAGTTGAAGAACAGGTATGAGAAATTTAAGAAATAAAACAGTTTTGTTGTTTGTTTTATATTAAAAGCCTTTTGATATTTGGCTTGCAAAAAATGATATGGTAGTTTATGTAGTTTAAAGAAACTTAGTGAAAAAAAAAAAAACAAATGCCTGGAAATAGCCATTAATATAATTTCATCTTCAGGAACTAAGAAGCACCATTACAGATCCACTTGAAGTAGATCAAGCAATAGAAAGCCTTCATTCAAAGTACTCTAAGAAAATGGTAAGTTAAATTCTGAACAACAGGGTCCAGTTGATCAAAGGCAGGTTATGATTTTGCCGGGGTAAAATTTCAGTCTGGGTTACTGTTTCTTTGTTTTAAAACATTAAAGAATTTATGGAATTTGCTTTGTGAACATTTCGATCTACAGTCAACTCTCTCTTAACTATAATGGACACATCTATAAGACAGATGCCTCACTAAAAGAACACCTTGAAATAGACAGAAAATGGGATGTTGATTGAACTGAACACCTAGTTTGATCAGACTTGGGGTTGATTATTGTACACTTTCTTGTATCCCATTCTTATTTTAATACTCCCTTTTTTCATGTTTTTTTAAATCTAAAGAGCTCAGAGAGGTTAGAACTTCAGGATAAATTGAAAACAGATCTCTTGCAAGGCACAGAACTGTCAGAAGAAGAGGTGGGTTGAAAAATTGTTTGTGTTGTAACAAAACATATGTCTGAAGCTGATGCATATAAAATACATATTTTTTGGCCTAGCTACACAAGGCTTGTATTTTATGCTGTTTGTGTTCAGGAACTGGGCATTTTTCCTTGATTTTTAGAAATAACTAACGATGGACAAATTGAATACTAGCTACATGTTTTACTGTGATACTCGATCATGCCCCTACAATACTTGAAACATTGTGGTCAGCCAGTCTTGCATTAGTCTTTCATAGAGCCGGACAAAAGGCCTGCCTCAGTCTATAATAATATAACATTACTTTGTTCTCTGTAAGTTATCAGGTTTTGCGGAAGATACATGTATTAGAGTACAGTTAATGAACCGTTATTTGCATTTTTTCTGCTATGTTTCTTATATCTGTCTTCTAGTAGCCTGCATAGCTTGTGGTTTTGATTGGGAGTGCGCTCACCAGAAAAAACACCAGCTATGCAGGCTGGGGGGACAGCCATGGTGTTTGTCCCTTCCTGCCGGGGGGGAGGGGAGCGGGTGGGCTGAGGAGGGAGAGGGGTGGAATGGTAGAGGGAATTCCCCCTATACCCAATTGCATTTTTATACCCCTCCATTTTGCCCTGTTATGCGGGCTATCCTTCTTTCAGCGACCTCTGTACAATTAAATATGCAGATATTAGTATTTTTTGCTCTCTGTCCTCTAAAGCTGAGATTACCCCGTTTTTACAGGCAGAACAGATTGTTGCTAAACTTATGATGAACATGGCGGCTGCTGACAAGCGCTTGGCGGAAGAACAGAATCGTCAGGCTATGGTAATTACAATGTAGGAGTGTCATAATCTCATAACCACAATATAACAAAAAAAATGGGACAGAAGTGGTCAAGCTGAATTACCTTTTGTGCGTGATGGTTAACCAAAACCTACACATGTGTGATATTTAACTGCATACAAAATCCTTGTCTCCTTTTACTTAAAAAATATTATAAAGATAATAGGGACCATAAAATACCCCGTTTCTGCTGGTAAATTACGCCAGTACCCATAACACGGTTAAGGTGACATATAGTTGCAATGTAGGAACAATGTTGTAACTAGTCGAAACCATGAAGCAACAATGTTGCAATGCTGTGTTGCGCTGAAAATCGTCGTTGCGAATATTATGAAGAAGTATTTTCCTCAGGTTTGTCGGTCTAACTAGTACTGTTACGAGTTAACGACGTAAAATAAGGGCCTCTAGCAGTTGTTCATCGAGATGCATGTGCAAGGTGTTGAATCTGGCACTACGCAGGAGAAACTCCAAATTACACGGTTGAGGGTGAGACTTGTAACTACAGCCTATATTTAACTGGATTTTGGTGTTTTTTTTTTAGGTACTGCATGAAAAACTTGCACGAAGACAAGCACTTGCCCAGCAAAGAGCAGCTGACAACCAGCAGGTTAGCCGAGTAGTTACCCATCATCTACGCTAAAGCAATAGATGCAATCAAACGATTACTTTGAAGAGCAGTCGACAGATTAATAAGGGAGCTTGAGCAAAGACGACGGCGACGGCTACGGCAATGAGAACGTCAAAAAAAGGTTTAGATTAGCAAAACAACAACTCTGCACGTGAATCACCCTCGGCTTTTTTGTGTGTTTCATTGCCGTCTCTGCACGACTACGACGTGAAAGTGCTTAATTTCACGATCTTGTTGAAGACGTGAACGAAAGACGACTTTCTTTTTCTTTCCTTGACTTCAATACAGTCTTTTAGACAAGTCCAGAAAAATTTGCCAACATTGAACGAGTTGGAATAAGCGCGTTAAAGTTTGAGATAGAAAAAGTTCTATCTCAGCGATCGTTGTCGCTGCGATCGCTACGATCGCTGGAAAGTGGTTTCCATACGATCACTGAACTTTTTTTTTCTCAGCGATCGCAGCGATCATATGGAAACCAGTTCTTGAAATTTCTTATTTTGTAGGAGAAAGATGAATTCGAGGAACGATCCAAGCAGCCTCTAAAAAATTTAGAGGTTCTACACAAAAAGGGAAAGCTCTTGGAAGACCAGAAGGATAGGTAAGATTTAAACCAGTGCATGTGAGTAATAATACTGAACAGGTTAGTTAGAAGCTGTACATATTGCATTTTTTTTTCTTACCTTTAATGTGCGTTCATCGTGTGTTCTTCTTCTGTTTGGACCAAAGGATTATGGAGGAATACGAACAAGATTTGCGTGTTTTGGAGGAAAAAAATCAGAAAGGTATGTTACCATAACCTACTATAGCACAGGGGAAACTGTTTTAAGCTAAATGAAGCAAAAACGAATCTGCTTTTAGAATTCAGGTCATCAAGATTTGTCGATCGGTTCGTATGGGAATGATTGTTTTCGCTTATGTCGCGCTATAAGTCCATGATACTGCTAATTTCACATTTTATTATCCCTTTAGAGATATTAATTATATTACCTAATGACTGCGTATGAGCTGTAAAAGCTAAAGGATATGACCCATTTGTAAGCAAATTGAGACAGAAAAGCCGAGTTGCGCACGATGATGAGCATTGTGGTCAGATGATATACTTTAAATGCATATCATCAGTTTTTATCGATGAAATTCTCTTCCAGCTATTTTAAAAAGTCAGCGAGATCTCACTGAGAAGCTAAAGAGAAAGCGGCAGCAACGAATGAGAAAACTAGAAATGGAACAGGCAGCCGAAAGAGAAGAATTCGAAAGAAAGGTCAGTAAAATCACATTATTGTCTCAAACAGTTCCCCATGTTCCATGTGATGTTTTTCTCCTCAATTCGACGATCAATCTCGATAATATCGAACGGAAAAATAGGGGAATTGAATTGCTGAAGTAATCAACAAATGTTCTTTGATAGAATTTATTTGAACAAACTCGGTGAAGAAAGAGGAAGTTAAGCGAAGCATAAAAGTAAGAAGATTGTGTCTGATTGGCTTTTCGTAAAGCGCAAAGCATTTTCTACCGCCATCGTGGGGGTAGTTTGGACTTGAGTCGGTCAAAGCGGCAGAGTAGAGCGCTTTGTCTTAAGCTAAAAAAGTGAGCTTCATACAATATTTTTATCAAGTTCCAACGTATTTGGAAAACAAAAGCGTTAAGAAACAACAGACTGCAGCACAATAGCCTGCGTAGCAAGCGTTTCCTCGCGAGGTTCGTCTAGAAAGCCGGGACAAGAGCAAAAAAAAATCCGCTCTAACTTTCGCGCAATAACTCGACTGGAAACGCTTGCTACGCAGGCTAGCAGTACAATACAAGCTTCGCGGTATGGCCAGCACTTATGCATGCGCTCCACCACGTCACTGGGGTAGTGGGATCCATGATCAGCTTTCTCGCGGTTCTTACGGCTTACCCGTCAGATCCCTGTACGGAATAACACGCGTTCAGAAGCTCTTCATTACCGAGGCCAGTGCAAAGCAGACTTTTTTTAAAGCCATCTCCACCTAACACTGGAAACCGCTAAACAGTTCTTGACGTGCGTATGCAGCCGGGAACAGCTTTGCAAATGCAAATGTAATGCTCCTGTCATCTTCAGCTGCAACAAAGAGTGTACAGTTGAATACGTTTTTGCTCTTATTTGTTTGTTTAAGGCTGGCCAGTTGGTCAATGAAGGTAACATGACAGTCGAGGACTTCCTAGAGTCTAACCATCAACTAAGAGTTCAACAACAAACTGCGAGAGAGGAAGAGGAAGACCGAGCTGATGACATGGAAGCGGAGGAGCTTAACAACCTTAGACAGGTATTATATTGAAAGATATAGTTCAGTCCGTGACACAGGCGGCTGAAGAAAAATCCTAGTACTCCCAACAGGAATCGAACCTGTGATCATCTGGATGCTAGTTCAGACGCTCTACCACTAAGCTACACGGTCACTAAGCTTTCTGTATTTACAACAAACAAGTGACAAGAAAGTGCTACTGTTAGACAACTTTTGGAGGAAAATTTAAAATCCTCGTGGGAAATTTTCCTTTAGATTATTTCCCGATTTTCGCTGTTTTAAGTTCAATGGTCACAACATTAGTAACAATCTGTTCAGTTGACGGCAGTCACAATTCATTTAACAGATTTTTTTCTCGTTGTTTTTGTCGATTTAGGAACTGGAAGAGACTAAGCAGAAAAAATTGCAAGAAAGGGAAGAAGCTTTGTTTGAACAGATCAGAAAAGAGGCGCATTTATCATCCAAAGAAGCAGAGAAGTTGATGAACAAGCATTTGGAAGATCTTAAAGAGTCCAATGGTTTGTTGAGTTCTTCAGTATTAGTTATTTTTTATGTACCGTTGCGCAAATAGTTGTTTTATCTACATGTATACGTGCACTTTTCTACACAGATGTTTCTCGCACGCACGTTCCGCGCGTGCACACCAACTCTAGCACTCTCCTCACATCTTGTCTTCACCATGCATTTCTTGATCACGCGTACATGTGTCTTTTGTGTGCTTCCTGTGCTCTTTTCCCTGGTCAACTGCTGCTATTTTTAACGCTCTTTTTTGCTTGGGTTACATTCACACGGTAGCGGACGAATTCAGTTCGGCACTGAGTATTTTACCCCGCATTCAAAATGCACCAGATTGCATCTCAACGCATATTCATTAAAAAAAAAAGTTCCTGGAGGCATGTCCCCGGACCCCCTAGGAACCTCGTCGCCTTCGGCCACTCAGGACTTCTCCCCCAAACGATAAATCCTAGATAGAACCCTGATTCCCCAATGCGCTTTTCGTCTTTCTTCATGGTGGACAACAAAGCAGCGTCTAACAAGGTTTGTTTATGACCTTTTAAGACAGGAAAAACCGTGAGCGAGAGCGACAGAGAGCTACAATTCAAGAAAGACTAGCAGAAAGAAAGCGGAGATGGGAAAGAGAAATGGAGCAACAGCAAGCAGAACAAAGTCAAATAGTGGCAGAACAAGAGAAAGCAATAAAACAAGTGCTCAACACTCAAGCGGGACTGGCTGAAGAGTACGTGTCCACCAAATTTTCTAATAACATGACTATGAGTGAAAGAAAAGCTGTTAACTGAAAAGAATAAATAAGAAAAGTTTATGTCGACGACTAGGCTGCAAAGAAATTGTACTCAGATTTGTAAACTGGCGCGTTGGCCGTTATTAGGTGACCTTGAGACTGGGTCTGTGTTGAGTTGAACTGCACTATGGGATTGTTTTGGGGGACGACTTGTGACCCAGTTTCCTCTGCAATTTTTCCTCGTCCCCAGGGTGTCTCCCTCAAAAATGGGAGGGAATCCTTGGGGACCAGGGTGAGTAATATCTAATAAAAGAAGAGAAAGCCTCCTTTTAACTTTCCCATAGTGCAATACGACACAACACCGAACCAGTCTTCTGCGTAGCCTGAAATGGCTGGTACCTCTTTGCATCAGTGGTCGTTTTGAAAAAGAAAATTTAGCTTTTTATTAAAATAACTTTTCTTATTTGTTATTCAAGTGACTTATAGCTAGATTAAGACATTTACTTTTTTTGCAGGTTAAGGAAGCAGGTCATGTTAGAACACGAACAGAACATGGCAGCGTTGAATAATCATCTGCAAATGACGAGACTCAGGCAACAAAAAAGGTTCGTTTAGTTCAATCTGAGTCGCGAGGAGGGGGGGAAATTATCTCTTTCTGTGTGCCTATGGGTGGGGATATACCGCCGTAGGAGGAAAAAACTGATAAATTTCCCGGGGGTTTACCAGGAAAGGCATTGCAACAGGCAGAATTGAACTTTACATTTACGCCTTTTTTTGAATGTGGTCACATCAGCCTTTTCTAGTATAAAACCAAACTAATATCAGTTTAAAGAAAATTGTCGTACTATTATTCCTTTTAATGTCAATTACCTGAGTGTTTTGGTGGAAACCGGTGTAAATCCCCGCCCGTCAATCGAGATACTCTTTAGTTAAGCTAACAAGCGCTTCAATTTTTTACCTACAGGCTGGAGCAGCGGCTCGCAACCCGAAGAGCACGACTCGCTGAACTCAGGCAACAAATGGAAGTGGAGCGAGAAAATCATCCTCAGAACGATCCAGAGGCCATGAAAGCACTCGCTAGGGTGCAGGTTAGTTCCTTATTTCCAAGTTTATATTCCTCTTGCGGTGTTTCTTATAACTCCTTATTCGAGTTTTCTAGTGACTATTTGTTGAGTATTCATCCTGTCAGACTTAAACGAAATATCCACAAGTTCCCCATGAAGAAGAAATGTAAAATTAGATTATAAGGGTAGGAGCGATTTAAAACATGACAGACACGAGAAAGAAACGATTTACTATTTTCGTTTTCTAATCGACATAATAGTATACTGTTATAGTTATGTCATATGCTATAAATTATGTCATGTCAAAAAATTCGTGTCACCTTTTGTAGAACATTGAATATCAGGCAGAAGTGAAGAAAATTGAGGCTGAACATCAAGCTGCTCTGGAAGACTTCAGAAGGTGAATAGCGTTCCAGTTTTATTGCCCAAAATACCATTTATCCTGGCTGGTTGTCATTTGGATTTATTTCAGCTGTGTTAGGTAGCTGAAATCTTGATCTAGCGCTGACACCGTATATTTAATTCGCCACACAAGCATGATTTTTGATAAAAACTCGTTTCCCTTCAGGGCAGGAATGACTCTAAACAGCGGCGATATCCATGGATTCAAGTGTGCGCGTGTGTCGGGGGGGGGGGGGGGGCTTCAGCGCCACTGTCGACTCTGACAGCTTTAATGTACCGAGCCATGGACAACGCATCTCATATGAAAATACTTTTTTCTTGTCACTAAAAAACCTCTTTGCCTGTTTTTCAGTAGCTATAATTTTGTCACATGAAATTTAATTAAGTATTCTCATGTACTCGAGCACCGAAAAATTCTGGCATAAAATTTGCTCGGGTGGACGGGGCTCAGTTCCTTTGGTTTTGGGTTTTATAAAATTACGTTCACGCGCCTTGTGTTTTTTAGACGCTTGGAAGCCGAGACAGATGAAGCCCTGAAAGAACAGGACGAGAAACTGGGGAAAATCCTGGGTAAACTACAGGTGAGCTGAGTTATTTTTCAGTGCAATTCATGCAATGATCAGCTTCTTTTTGGAGTCAGACACCACTTTCTGTTACTTATTTTTTTTACACGATATTTTACTTCAAGGTTGCAGTAGCGAGGCGAGAAGAAATTATTAAGCGACAAGATGAAGCTATTCGCTCCTTAGAGGTAACTCAACTCTTGATAACTGGTAAATTTGTATATTTAGTTATACCACTAGCTGTTGGCAGCTTTGAAGTTTCCATTTATATTTTAGCAGAATCTTTGTAGAAAAAATTATTTTATTTCATTAGGGATTTAAAGCTTCTCTTCCAACTGTATAATAAACCGTTTTTATATGATTTCTTTTCTTTGTAGAAAAAACTCGTTGAAAACATGACAAGAGAAGGGACGCTGGCTGATGCGCAAACAGATCGCATCATAAGGCAGCATCAGAAACAAGTGGACAAGTTAAATGCGCAGATAGACGCGTAAGACTCGACTTTTCACCTTTTCTGATGTTGCTCGCTCATTAAACACCGACTTCTCATTAAAGTTCTGACATGTCATCTACAGTTTTTAACTGGGAAGATCTTGCTGTAGATTTACGTATGGCAGCACTGGTTTTAGCAGATTAACTCTCGGTGTTCAAAACACTAATAAACCTTTCACGTCCCCGGCTAGCCTACGAACGCAGACGTATTGTTGGTCGCCGATTCTCTATCTACGGCTTGTCTTGCAACGGAAAAAATATATTTGCTTCCACTCGGAATTCAGTTGAAGAAAGCAATCGTTTTTTAAGTAACTAGTTAAAACAGGGACAGTTTGTGACGCTCTTGTTTTGCATAAGCGGGAATTTGAAAAGCGGTGAGTGATGAGAAGGGATTAGTCTGTGATTACGGCAGACGTATTTCTGGCCGTGTATGGTGATAGCTAGAAATACATCTGTATTCGAAGGCTTCTAGAAGAACATTTGTTTCCAGTCTTTGCACCTCAAAGAAAACCATTGCAACTGATTTATGTTATTTTGTACCAAGCGATTTTACTGTTTTGTTCACAGCGAAAAAGAAAAGCAGATGCAAAAGATCCGAGAAAAACTAGAAGTAAAACAGTTAAAGAAAGCAAGGTTAGTTTCTTTTGTGAATAAGAGATGCTTTTTTTTTCACCGTCACTCAACCTCGTTCCCAGGGTTCTCTCCTATGCAGGTGGGAGAGAACCCTGGGAACGAGGTTGACCGTCACTGGGCTCTATTTTCTAATAATGCAATATTTCTTAACGTTCTATTTTAGAGCTTTAGAAGCAAAACTTTATCAAGAAAAAGAGGAACAAAAGAGCAAAGCGGCAAAGTAAGTTTTAACTCCTTTCCACTTTTTAATGTTGCTTGTTAGCGGTTGCATCCTTTCCCGTCTTTCGCATTGCAAGTGCCATAGCAAGTTTGTACGCGATTGAAGGTGGCTTTATATGTAGCCGTAGAAGAAAGCCGACATTTAGCGACGCTACCGCTGGTTTCCCCGCCAAATGACGTCTGAGAAACCAGCGCAGAAATTCCATACTGATGACGCGTCACTACCCAGAACTGGGTAGTGCTTCTGATTGGTCGTGCCGCCTGGCAAATTTATTTCAACCAATATTATACTTGTTCCTCTGTAGGTCAGTTGGTGTAAAACTTTCCCTGCTTTTAGCGGAACAGCGTCACAAGAGAGCATTAGAGGTAATAGGCGTTTTACATAGGTCTCAGTTTTTTCTCTGAAGGAAAGAACAATTGTACATGTTACTTATTGCTGTGGTTTGTACAATTACCTCATGTGATCGGCTGAACTGAACTTCTGGCGCCATTACTAACCAGTTAATAAACTGAGGAAACCAACAGCAGCGCTTGGCGCGTGCTTCGTGTTTTGCCTCAAGATGTGATTGGCTCTTTAGATTGTCCCCGTTTCTTTTGAATGGTCATAAGTGTTCCAGTAAGCGTACATCCTTGGACCCCCCCCGAAAAAAAAATCGGGTAATGGGGACGAGTACGTCCCACTCGTTCGAAAGAACTAGTCACGCGTTTTGGATTTTAATACTGAGTTAAGCAGACAAACCGGCTCGTGCTTTGGTTTATGAACGGCAAAAGCTGCTGTAGGATTTGGCTTTCTTATTTCTTAGTTTGCAGCGTTACAAAGTGTTCTTGCTTAAATATTGCCCTGTTTGTGTGTCGTGGCCCATTTTAGATAACTCATCGCACATTGTTCTCGATGTATTTGTTTAACAGGATATGGAGCGTGAGATGCAGATGGATTTAGCACGTCAGTTGGAGCAGTTAAATAGAGAAATGGACGAGCAACTGTTAACAGACTTGCAGGTTCAATTAGTTTCCTGTTCCAATGATGTTACTCTAGTATGTCGCGAGAGAATCGTCCCCAGCGACGGGGAAAGACGAGAGGCGGCTGTATTCACAGGCTATGGATATCGCTTTTCTTGCTGTTTAGATCTGATGACCACTTCCATTAAATTTACTTTGTGTGTGTTTCATACAGTAGCCTTCCACTTCTTTGAAACTTTTAACTTCATTGGACCCTATATGTTGACAGCTCTTCTGTTTTAAGGCTTTGTTCCACTTTCTACTTTGTCGTATTTTTTTTCATTGTTTTCGCAACCAAACCTCTCAGGCCTTGTTACAGCTTAGCAGTGCCTCTTTTCATTTTTTTTCCTGTTTTCTTTTCTCTCTACTAACACCGCCTCGGAAGCCTATTGGAGGGCAAGAGAGAATGAGCTAAGCTTAGATCATTCTCTCTTGTGGAGGGCTACTCTTGATGAGGGAATGTGAGATCAGTAGAAGCGGGTATGTGACTAGATTTTCAGAAACGTCCTTCGTCCGAACGCCCGCTCCACTCGCTAACAAACTCATGAGGTCGACTTGTAGCAAGTCTGGTATGTGATGTAAGATCCACTTCTCAGGCTCCTTTATAATTTCACCGAGACTTGTGTTCGTTCTAGCGTTTGCTGGCTAAAGTCATCGAGGGACTAAGTTATCGCAATTTTTTCAATGAAACGTCCATCTGACATCCTGTGATAATTAATTCTTGTTTATAGGAGGAAGAGAGGAAGTTCATAGCTACCTTGGCTGAGAACAGTTCAGCTACAGAAGAAGAACTGCTTCAAACAATCAAGAGTTCGGCAGTAGGTAAGAATGGAGAGGGACTGAAGTAATAAGGGAGACATGAAGGCCTCACCAGTCAGTTGTCGTTAAGTAATTATTTGTCATCTTTTCCTTTCACAGAGGTGGGAATGGATGCCAAGCTAACGAAGAGCATCGCTAAAGATGTTCGTAGAAGAGTTAGAACTGCCCGTACTCCAGGTCCAGAAGTATAACCACTATAAACCCAGCTACAAAAATGAGATTGCATGCTGAGATATATTATATCACAGACTGATCAAATATAATCAGTTGATGGTTAGTTGTTTTATAACGCGCTATCCGATTAGAGGGACTGTTTATTGTCTTTTGTGAACGGAAAAAAATACGTGCGCTCATGCTCGCGGCCTTGTATAGGAAGACCATCCAGTTCCATTTTCAAACACCCTGCTCGAAAGACAGCTAGCTAGCTTTAATTCACCGGGATATCCTTCGCTGAACTCGGCCTTATCAAAGATCGTCTGCTAAGAAGCTAGAGTGGCCCGTTATGTGGGTTACCTTCCCATTTATGTAAACGCTTCAATGCGTTTTCTAAAGAAAGATTATGAAAAGTTGGCCCTAAGCTCGTTTAGCCAGGCCACCCTCTTTCCGTGTGAACTGGCCCTATGATGTAAGGTACAGCGGCAATCGGCATTTTAATTGCTATTTATTTTCTTTGGGTCTGTGATTTTGTATTCACTGGACTATAACATTGTAAAAAGGTTCATACAAACGCAAATTTCGCCGTACGTGTTGTGTTTTGCAGTCATTCTTATTGTAAGCGTTATTCCAAAACGTCTATTTATTCTTACTCTGGCTCGAGGATCAATACTGTATTTATTAAATCGTATCTATTTATTTTTATTTGTGGGCTTAATAAAATAATGGAAGTAACGTCTCAGTGTCATTAAGCAGTGAAGGACGTGATAATTTCTTCTTCCTATACCTTCTTCTCAGATACCTGATCACCCGTCTAAGTAGATCTTGAACGCGGAAAACATCTGAGCATGTGCCGCGAGATAAGAAATAACCAATTCTAGTGGTCCCGGATTATGGAGCTGGTAGAGCCAGTTGAGGAGGGTGGGGCGGGGGGAGTAACGACCGCAAACGGAGGGATTGAAGGGAGGTGGGGAGCAAGATCCCCAGCGTTTACCCCCGCCCGCTTACTTTCGTTTCTCAGCGTAGTTTAGCCTGCGAGCTTGTTCTCTATTTGGTGTTAGTCGGGAGAAGTCACGCGAGCGCCACACGCCAAAGGAGACGCGAGTGCGAGTGGGGAAGATAATTTCCTCTGCCTCTCACGGCTTCGCCGCTCTTTTGCGCGTTGGCTCGCGACTCGCTCTGCTGGCTCGCTTCGCTGCTTGCTGGCAGGATCAAAGTAGTTTTCCTGAACAATCCCACTCGACTGACAGATAAGGGTCAGCTATCAGGACCACAGGACCATCCGCTAGACCACTCCTTGTCATGGTGTCGTCATCAAGTTTTTGAAGTTAGGTGGACAACGTTTACATTCGAACAAAATAATCCATGACTTGTTCAAATGTTGAGAAATGACAGTGGCAGCATAGAATGGACCACATGGCATAACCGCCAAGAAAAGTAAATTTTATGGCAATTGTTTGTACTGCAAAGCGCTAGAAACAAGTGCTTACCCTCTCGCCCTGACATTTGCCTTCCTTCTAGCGTCTGAAGAGCTGGTTTAAAATAGGCTTGCTGTAGTCCTATGGAGCACTGACATTTTTCTTATACTTGGAATGCATCTCGACAGAAATGACCTTGGCAACTCTGTCACGCATGCTAGGAAACGGTGAACGCGCAAACGTTTCCACTCGCTATCGCCAGCAACGAAGGAAGGTCTATTTGAAACAAAACGCTAGAAATACACTTTTCAAGCCAAAGTGTTGAGGTGAACCATGTCCTAAACAGTCGATTAGCTTTGCCAAGGCAAGCCCTGATCGATGGATCCCAGACGTAAACGGTAGAACACGAGGGCGGGCGCTAAAGAACGCGATGCTCGCTCGAGGGGTACCCTTCGTGTTAAGAATAGCCTGTTCCAGGCTCTCAGATAGTTAGCCTGTTCCAAGCGTTCAGATAGTGGCGAGCGGTGCGAAGTAAAGAAAGCGATGACGCTTTTATTTTTTTGCGCTCCTTCTTACTTCGCACCGCTCCTCACTATCTGAGCGCCTGGAACAGGCTATCAGATACTAGGAAAGACGCGAAAGTGAAAGGCACTCGAAAAGTTGGCGGGGAGGGAAAAAGGAAAAAGGAAAAAGGTAAAAGGTAGGGATCTCGGAGCCTGGAACAGGCTACGTTAAGAACGGCTGACTGTTTTCAGTCCTTATCGCTAATCCTTTAATAAAAGGCACTGATTTTCTTGAACCTTCTTCAAGTTTAACATTAAGCTGCGGAAAAAAAGTCTTTTTTTTCCCGCAGCTTTCTTTAAGAGAGAAAATTCAATGTACGTTGCTTGGCTGATTCTGACGTTTCGTTAGCTAGGCTAGGCACCCAAAGGGAACCGAGCACTGATCAAGAGGCTTTTGACAGACTGTAGTAATTATTCTGGCCAGAGTAGTTTCCTGCTCTGGCCTAGCCTGTTTTAGGCTCCACGACGATCGTTCAGTCAAGAAGTGATTCGAAAAACGGGCGGGGGCTGGTTTTATTTTCGCGATGCCTTAACTATCTCAGAGCCTGGGACAGGTTAGTTCTGGCCTAAAGGAAAGGTTCCTTGAACGTTGCTTTCTTGTTATTTATGGACCCTATTTTAAGTTAAGGAGCCTCGCTTTTCTCGTCGTCGTTATATACCTCTGCTTTTGCGGATGGGGCATAACTCGCGATAAAACTCGCGACACGCGACAGCGTACGGAGGGCCACTCGGCGGAACTCGGCGGCGCTCTTGGACAAGGAGACTGGTACCAATCAAACAACGAAAGAATACTAGAAAACATGGCGGCCTCCATGCTCAGTCAGAGTAAGTTATTATTCTGTGCTTTCTCTACTTCTAGACTTGCTCTATCTATGCTTACATTATTGTAAACTCCACTTTCATGTTTTATCGACATAGAGCACAAGTTACCTCCTGGTCAAAACCCAGATGAGTGGACGATTAGAGAAAAGTTAACTTTAGCTTCTTCGGTGGTTCGAAGTGGTGATCAAAATTGGTAAAAATATATAAGCTTAGATATCTGTCTATGTCGTTTATTTTGATTTTTAAATTGCTCAAATTACTGTTAGAGAGTAAATTTATCTATTCGAGACCTACTGTATTTGTTTGAGGGTTAAGGAATGCTTTCATACACTGTTTTAGTGTTTTATATGAAACTGAAATTAAACGACAAAAGGGTTAAATATTCAGCTTACAGTATGGAAGGCGAAGCCGTTGGTCGAATTTGTGTGTCGTTAAAGCAGGCTGGCGTGGTCTGAAGGTCTGTTTTTCTTGATTCACTCTGTAGCTTCCATTACATGTAAGAAAAAGGGTTCATGCTGTACACATGCATTATTTTAATAAATGTAATACATGTAATGTACATTTTTCTGTGGAACGCTAAGCGTGACAAAAATGCTCAAATATACACATTATAGAGGTTAAATCATTTAATATGTGCTGTACTTTGTTACTATTGGGTTGTAAATTCTGTATATAAAGCATAAGTGAAGGTAAATTTATTGCATTTGATTTCTTTCAACTGAATGTCGCGTTTTTCGATGAGCCTGTGAGGTAATACTTGGGTTTCTATCAATATATATACAGGCCGCATCCATGATAATCAATGATTATTTAAACATGCCATCATTTGCATGTGGGATAGCCTCCTATGCAGATGTTCTTAGGGGGTGCATCGCGTGTTTCATTCAAAAAAATTCCTTTCCCATTGTTCACAAATATCAGCTGGAACTCATGTGCAGATTATGGGAGAAGCAATCGGTGCTGTTGAAGTCAAAATGTTGACCAGCCAAACACGATGTACAAGCTCTGTAGTGTGTGTTATGTGACCAAAGAGTTTTGCCCCTTACAAGAATGTAGGATATAAAGGTTCAATTTTTGCATATTTGCCTCTGTAAATGCTGGATTAGATGCCAGTTGCTCATAAGGGTGTTCTTTTGGTGAGGCAGTGGTTGTAACTGAACAAAAGGCAGAATTTTTTTTTTTCTCAGTTTATTGTTTTGTAGTAAAGCTGACTTCCGTTCAGCAAATTTAATCTGTGAGGTAATTTTTTTCAATAAGATTGTGTGGGTAGCCTCTAGTACATAGGCATGTGAGTTAGCCAAGTAGTCTGTTCTAAAAAGTGTAAGGTCTTCACCTTTCATGACACCTTTCTGATCTTTTCTGGAGTCTTGCGCAACATTTCTCAATGTCCAAAGTGCAACCCTTCAGATTTGGAAGTGTGACGTGATTGGTCTACGTTTTTTTTCTGCTCATTTCAGCAGACACTCGTTGGGGAGGAGGAGGAGGGAGAGGCTACTTGTGGGACAGCCTCATTACAATCAAACTGTCCTAATGAGGACAGGTCGCAACTAACATGTTTATTTCGTTATAGGGTGTCTGTCAGTCGTACTATCAAACCAATACTTGAGACAGGATGTTGTGCAAAACAAAGACCACCTGACTTTTTTTCACAGAAGGTAATATTAATTTGTGTCTCAGGTATAAAGTGAATCATTCACTTCTGAAAAACCCTTTTATATGAGTTATTTGTGTTTCATCCTGGTTTTATACAGTGCAACAGCACCATGTAAGCATATTCTCTGATGCAAAAGTTCAATAATATTAAAAGGGTGGCTAGAATGAAGCCCCAACTGACTTCTGATAGACTTGTAGTTGTTGGTGGAAGCAAGACTGTGGTGACCTTGTTTTGAAACAACCCTTCCTTCTCTGTTTACCTGGGCATTTTTTATGTTATATAGTTTGTCCTTATGTTTAGAAATAGAATTTAATTTAATTTTTTATTTTAATTCTACAGAACTGTGCATCTCATTACTCTGAAATGCTTGAAAAAGTGAACACGCCAAAGTACGTGCTGATGACTGAATAAATTGGCCATATTAATCTGATAAAATACTTGTTAGGTTTAAAGGTTGGAGGTTCATTGTTGTAATTTGCAATTTATCAATAACTACCTTACTTGTTAATTTGATTATTTCTCTATTCAACCCTCTCAGCCTACAGTGCTTTTAGTTTCAGTACATTAACCTTCATATTCTCTTCCACTATTCTCCATCAAGGCTGTGCTCTAAGGAAAATTGAAGGGAGCCCAGTGCTCTGAAATGTAAAATCTAGGGTGCCCAGCATATGATTTGTATGAAAAATCTAAGATCGTCTAGTCACCCAAGGGAAAAAGTTAGGCACCAGGGGCCACCGGGCTCTACTAGAGCACAGCCCTGTCCATCATACATTTCTTGTTGCAGTATTAAAAATAAAGTCATTTTGATAAGACAGTTATATTTGAGAATACAAATGAAAAAATCCTTTTGTTAATTATAGGAGAAAAAGGACCAATGAAGGAGGTGGAACAGGTAAGGAGTTGACTACTGCTATCAAGGACATTGACCTTGTGGCTTCACTGGTCAACCCAGGGTGGAATTGTCAAATAGAAAGAAAATAGAGCGTAAATAATATTTCATGCAAATGTCTATCTCACTTGAACTTTAGAAAGACCACAAACACAACGGCTTGGCACAAGTTCCTTGAACTCAGGTTGCC